GCCTTTTCTTTGCCTAAATAAAACTGTACCCAATTGGTTGATTGTTTGGTATGTATAATTAAAAAGTTCATTGAATATAATATAATAACAAGAATACCTTATAACATTAATCTTTGTATTGCATTAATTTGATCCATCTCCACTCATGAAAAATAATGACTTTTTTATTTACATTCACTTTTTCTGGTTTTGACACATTCCATTCATTTTATGAAATATGATTTTTCCTTGATTTTAGTATGATTTCGTTGGTCTATCCAATTCTTACATTATCTCCTTAATTAGGGTTAAATAAATTGAAATATCACAACACATTTAAATTGAAGGGAATTTTATTAAGCATTTATTAACACAATAATGACTGTCGTTGTGTCTTTTTGTATATAAATACAAAATAACAGTTGCATAAAATACTCCAATATATACAGCCTTATTCACTCGCAATGTCATATAGTTATTGCACTGATGAAGGATGTGGAATTGACTAGAAACTGTGAAGAGGAGTGTCGATTTGATTTGACTAATATATAATATACCTCTAAATGGGTTCATCTTAGACAATTTCATGATAAACCTTCGTAAAAAGATCAAAAGAAGACATGGACCTCCACTTTAACACGTTTTTACCCATAACAAGAACATATATAATCAGTGTATTGCATTAGTTTGAAAATGTTTTGTATTGCATTATTCTTTCTATCAACTTCTATAATTAGATTTCTTTAAATTTTTACATAAAATTTTCAATCCTAAGGTAACATGGTTCAGGAACTTGATTTTTTCCTTGCATATTCTAGCAGATTGATTGGTGTCCCTCGACAATAAAAAACAAAAAATGCTAATTGAATTTCTGTTTTGTATGTTCTTTGTGATACAACATGCATAGTGATACTGAATTTGTGATACAATTGTTTCACCACACTCGTTGGAGCGCCGAGAAAGGGGGGTAATGAAAAAGCAGAGAGCTATATTAGTTCCTCAATTCAATGCTTATTTGTGTAGTAAACAATGTTTTATGTAAACAAAATTTATATATGTGGTAAGAATATAATCATAGCATTGGTTGGGCTGCATGCTGGATCAATATTCTTAAGAAGTCCAAGGATTGAGGTAGACAATCAGAGAGGTGACAGAGAATGAGGAAATAAAGAATGAGTAATAACATTAAACCCCTTATTCTCTATTATTTATAAAAGCCCTAAAATTTCTAAAATTTTATAACACCAAAACCGATTAATACCATTAAACCCCCCTTATTCTTTATTATTTATAAGAAGGCCTCAAAGTTTCCTAAAATTTTATAACACCAGAACTTATAGTGCACCGCACGCATGATTTAAATCTCAATTTTCAGAATTTTAATTTTCCCTCCCTTTAGCTCATATCTTCCCTTTCCATCCTCTAGAGAGCCAAACACACCACAAGCAAGATCTGTGAGAGCAATTGAGGTTTTTTTTTTTTTTTTTTTTTTTTAATTTCAAATTATATCTTTAATTGAATTTCTCAGTTTGTTGTCAACTTTTACTTTTCTGAATGTCATTTTCTATCTCTATCTGCTCTGGCTATTAATTTTGCTCACTCAAGGGTTTCAGTCTTTTAGAATTTGTTTAAGTTTGATTTCTGTTTGTGCTGGCTAATAGTGGGTTTCAGGTTGAAATTGAATCTAATCTCGATTAGTACTAAGCTACCCATTCTTGATCTGTGTTTGATGTTTCACTCGATGTGTTTATATTCTCGTGATTGCAAAATCTGATTTGTGTATTTTGAAGGAATTTACATGAACAGTTCAGTTCCCCTTCATTTGTAATAACTTTTGTAAGTTTTGATCTCCACTGTTATTATCTCATAAATTGAGAAAGAAAAATCGAGAGAAACTGAATAAAGAAAATGAACGATGGGGCTTCGAGAAATGCAAACTATTATGCACCTTGATGATATTGTTAAGAGGAAGATTTAATATCTTGGTCTTCATACCCTCAATAGTTTTTAACTCACTTTGGAATTGCTTAATGAATTTTCCTTTCTTTTGCTCGATTTCAGCTTGTCCCTGTTGTGTTCCATAAGTCAGCTAATGGAGTAAAGTTGATCCCAGTGCTGAAAAAGACTTTGTAAGTTAACTGGGTTTGGTGGAAATTGATGTTCAATGACTGTATCATAATATTCTATTTTTGGTGTTGTTCTCAGGTGGAAGAAGGAGCAAGGTGAGCTGCCATTTTGGCTTGCTCAGAGTTATATTTGAGGCAAGCTGTATCAATAAATGTTCCGGCATGTTTCAACCAAAAGTAAATCATATGGTTTCTAGTTTTATTCTTATTTCTGACTAAAGATAGTTAATACTAAGAAATCCATTAAAAACAGAGTTGCAAGAAGAATTTTTATATGTTTTGTTTATGTGTGAATAATGTAGAATGGGTTGAACTTTTTGGCAAGAAATGGCCTTTGGTTGTCAAAAGCAATGGATTTTGTATTGTAATATGTTATATCATGATTTTTTCTATGTATTATTTTTTGGTTTTGCGTTCACATGTGGGTTACGTGTTCCAGTCCAACTAGGTCAAACTTTTTGTCAAAGTCTTCTAGGGTTTGTTGTTCTTATTGTATTTCTTTGATCCCTCCCTCTTTGCTTTTTTGAGTGACCAAGCCCCCTCTGGAATTAGGTAGTTTTAACCAATTCCAATGATTGCAATTTCTTGCAAAGTTGTTCTATGTTCAAATGATGCATGAAGAATGACATGTTTATTTATTGATGAGAATCGAAGTGTGAATTTTTATTTACTTTTCTAGTCTTCTTTGTCTCAATTGAATACCAGAACAAGGCGGGAAATCCGGGCTGATGCTGCAAATGTGGATCTGAGATCTCGGTGTCCATATTCTATATTTGGCTGTAAGATAGCACCATTGTGAGTTTCTGCTACTCCTAGCTTCTTTACATGCTTACAGTTTTTCCTGTCCTTCTATTATTTTACTTTATAATGCGCTCTCCCATTTCTTGTCCCTTGTATGTAAATTGCTATCATCATATTTGTTGTTCTCATAATGTCATTATATGGCACTTTGTCATTTGGAAAAGAAAGCAATGCCCTAAGATTTGATGTTATTACAAATTTTCCATATTATGTTTCACTGCTATTTAGAACAAGTTGATCTGTTTATTTATTGCATAGATGATTTGAAGTTTGAACCAGTCTCTAGTTTTTCCTAGTTTCTGCATCTTATTGAAACTGTGAAGCATATTGAAGGTGTAGAGCTAAACTTCATTTTCATGTCTTGGGATGGAATAAAGGATGTGGTCAGTTCTTGTCTCAGAAGATCAATATGTATGTTAGAGATAGGATTTATCAGAAGTAATGTTGAAAATGGTAGAGTGAAAAGAGAAATGAACAGGATCACCTGTTCGTTTTTTTATTATCCTAAATGTTGGAAGCTTGATCAATGTGTCAGCCTAGTAGTGGGTTGGTGGTAAAGCTTCTTCATTACATCTAATTCGGAAGAGCACACTAACACTAAAGTTATGTGGGATGGATGTAACTGTAATTAATTAACACTAAGCAATTCATTATCAGTTTTAGTTGCAAGCTTTTGCTTTGAACTGTGAAGTTGGCTAATCATTTTCAAGTTGCCAACATGAAATTCACTGAGTTTTTATTACTTACTCTTGTTTTTTGTTTTCATGGAAAGGGTGGGTGATCGAACAATTGGAAAGATGCTCTTGTCTACATTTCGATGGGTATAGGATATCTTAACCAAGGCACACACTGTAGCTATGCATGGCTTCCAATCTTGACGGTTTTAAACAAGAAGAAACTAACTGTGAGATTATTTTTGCTCATTTAACCACATATCTGCCATTTCATGTCACATCTATATTAGCAATGATGTCAAAATGCTTTTGCCTGTGCAGTGTATGAAGCCGCACAACACTCCATGGCAACCTTTAAAAAGTGGCGGATAGGTGGCCCCAGATTTCAGAGGGCCTCAGTTCTTGGAGGAAGAGGAAACCATTGAGTAGGTGCTTTTCCTAACCTAATTATAATTGTTCACACCATGTGAGTCTACTCTGTAAGTGTTAAGTATGATGCCAGAAGGTTTCATACCTGCGATGTAACAAGTAGTAGTACTTGAGATAGATTTTAAGAATTATATGGTTTGTTTGACCTTCCCATTGATAATATTAGTTTTATGTTGCAGAAAGTAATAAAGAAAGAAGGAAGCTCACTGCTGTTTCTGATGGTTTAGTAATTTGTCAAGGCGGTATTTGTCTACGTGGCTTCGAAAGACAATTTTTTATTTGGAAATTAATTTTCAATTTTTTTTTTTATGTAAATTAAAATGATACTTCAGTGGTGTATTGTCTCCACGTCATTGGACCTAATAATTCCAGTAGGTGATGGCAGAATTGATTTGTTGCACGTGATGATAGGGGCTTAAACAGTTTTATGTTATTGTTTAGTTTATGAGATTAGATATTTTGGTTGGAAGATATTTTTTTTCATCCTTACGCTGATCATCTGATTCCGACTTGCGCTTTTTAATCTCCGTGGAAATATCGCCCACGACCTTTTGCCCTTTCTCTTTTCTTAGTGCTAAAGTTCCTCTTAAGATATTCCATTTTCGCGTAAGATATTTTTTGTATCACCATTCCCACTCGCATTTATAGCGTGTATTCTTAAAATGCTCACTTTCTTGTACTTTTTATTTATTTTCTTTCTTCATATTCTTATTTAAAGTAAATACTAATTTTCTTGTAAAGATTGATAAACTTTTTTGTTTAATTTATTACAGAAACTAACCTCTTTCAAACTACTTAAAACATTTATATATTATATGTATGCTTATTATTATAAATTAAAACATGAAATTATTTTTTTGAACCAGTAAAGTATGGAAATATTTTTTTTTTCATTTAATGTTATTGGTTTGTACCACACGCACGACTTAATCACGTAATCTGGGCATCTGGCATCATTGATTATGTTGACTGATTCGCCCCTATCCATTCAGAAACTCCCCCCTTGGCTCTGCAGAATCAACAAATAACAATAAGAACATAGAACCATCATATGTCTTGAAACAAATTAAAACTCGTCACGTGCACTGCGCATGACCTCCCGCGGCTCCGCCTCCTCCGCCGTCGTATCTACCATGGAAACTACCACCTCCAACACCTTCTCTAAGAAGCGAAACCACCACCACACCAACACCACCACCACCCAAGAAGAGGGTCATGACTCTGAAGTTTGGTCAACGTTCAACCACAGTTTTAAGCAAGTTCAGTCTGTTTTGGACCGTAACAGAGTGCTGATCCAACAAGTCAACGACAATCACCAGTCAAAGGTTCCCGACAACATGGCCAAAAACGTAGCTTTGATTCAAGAACTCAATGGAAACATTTCGAAAGTTGTTTCGCTTTACTCTGATTTGTCATCTAATTTTTCAACTACTTTTCAGTATCAACGTAACAAGAACAGTGATGGTGAGAGAGACTCCGGAGAGGACTGAGAAATTTGAGCTGAGTTTCATTGTTTTTAAGTATTGTCTCTGTTTTTGATATTTGAAAATGGTAATAAAATTGGGTGATGGGTATGATCGTGATCGAATAACTGTCAAATGTGACACTTAATGTGGTGTTGGTTTTGTTTTGTTTGTTGTTGTGTTATAAGGAGGGTGACTTGCAGGAAGGCTTATTGTATTCTCTTGAACTCAGTTCATAGTGAGGTATTTATGTTCGAATTTTGTTAACTTATTGTCTTATTTTATGTTTGATTGTTCTTGCATGATTGAATGTTAGAATTTGTGGTTTGTCAATTGGTTGTCTTGTAACTCGGATAGTCATTCATACAATCACAGAATTCAGAGAGTATCTTTAAAACAGTATTATATCATTTGGATTGGAGAAATCCCTCTATGTAATATCAGAAGTGATAAATCTTTGCAAATTAAGCTGTTTATCTAGCAGCACATGAAAGGTTTCTTGGTGTCAGCTAAGTCAGAAATGGAGATGAGAATGAAGGTGATTTGTTTATTGGTGAGGATTTTTGTTTAGTATCATTCAGAATTACAATGGCTAACCCAAATAGGTTGATTCATTGTGTAGATAATATAATTCAATCTAATAGAATAATTGGAGTCCAGAAATTTTGAACTTGCAGTCACTTTTATTGCTAGCGAAATTCTTCGACAACTTCTTTGAGATTTCTTTTTATTGATTGAACATTATACTAAAAAAAAACTCTGGTTTGATTGTTTTCTGTTGAAAGTGGTGATTCACTTCGGTATTCAGGTCAGAGCTAGCCTGAAGTTCAGAAATTGGCTCCTTTAAGAAGTATTTTCAGTAGTTTCACTGATAGTTCTTTTCTTTCTTCTGCTTTATTAATTCCTATTGGGGATGTATTCTATACAATACCAGTTGAGATAGTCCTATGTAATATCTTCTCTTTTCAGATTCAGGATTTCTTATTTCATGTCGAAATCAAATGCTCTGATAATTCCCAGATTGATGGTTAAAAACTAAACTTATATTAACTAACCCTCTGTTTCCTGATGACATCGCCCTATGCCTAAACAACTAGCAAGAAGTCTAGCAACAAAGAGTATTAAGAATTTTTTATCTTGATTAGAAGAAATATTAACCGAGTGAGATTTGCTTACAGCTTTAATTTCATGAAAAAAAAATTTGATGGATAAGCTTTATATGGTTGATTTTAAGCAGAATCTGGTAATTGTTGTATCATTCATTTTGTCTGGTGTAAAGACATCAGTCCCAACCCCTTTGCTATTCGTATGGAATAGATGCTGGAATTATCCTGAATTTCAAATTCCATCATTTTATGTTGAAGTCTATGATCAGAACCGAATGTTTGGGGTTTCTGCAATGATTTGCCAGCATCATGTCAATGAAAATAACAAATTACTAACTTATTCAGATATGAAACAAGCTCAAATCTGCTTAAAGAGCTTTTGCTTTAATGAACTACGATATAGAAACTATTTTAAGCCAAGATGGTATGGAAATTTTACTTGGTCATTACGTGAAAGTTGTATTCACATTGAAACAGAGCAAAATTACTGTCAATCACCATTTTCACATTACAAGCGATAAGGAGGGCTGTCACAAAGGCATTTCACCNACTACTTTTCAGTATCAACGTAACAAGAACAGTGATGGTGAGAGAGACTCCGGAGAGGACTGAGAAATTTGAGCTGAGTTTCATTGTTTTTAAGTATTGTCTCTGTTTTTGATATTTGAAAATGGTAATAAAATTGGGTGATGGGTATGATCGTGATCGAATAACTGTCAAGTGTGACACTTAATGTGGTGTTTGTTTTGTTTTGTTTGTTGTTGTGTTATAAGGAGGGTGACTTGCAGGAAGGCTTATTGTATTCTCTTGAACTCAGTTCATAGTGAGGTATTTATGTTCGAATTTTGTTAACTTATTGTCTTGTTTTATGTTTGATTGTTCTTGCATGATTGAATGTTAGAATTTCTGGTTTGTCAATTGGTTGTCTTGTAACTCGGATAGTCAATCATACAATCACAGAATTCAGAGAGTATCTTTAAAACAGTATTACATCATTTGGACTGGAGAAATCCCTCTATGTAATATCAGAAGTGATAAATCTTTGCAAATTAAGCTGTTTATCTAGCAGCACATGAAAGGTTTCTTGGTGTCAGCTAAGTCAGAAATGGAGATGAGAATGAAGGTGATTTGTTTATTGGTGAGGATTTTTGTTTAGTATCATTCAGAATTACAATGGCTAACCCAAATAGGTTGATTCATTGTGTAGATAATATAATTCAATCTAATAGAATAATTGGAGTCCAGAAATTTTGAACTTGCAGTCACTTTTATTGCTAGCGAAATTCTTCGACAACTTCTTTGAGATTTCTTTTTATTGATTGAACATTATACTAAAAAAAAACTCTGGTTTGATTGTTTTCTGTTGAAAGTGGTGATTCACTTCGGTATTCAGGTCAGAGCTAGCCTGAAGTTCAGAAATTGGCTCCTTTAAGAAGTATTTTCAGTAGTTTCACTGATAGTTCTTTTCTTTCTTCTGCTTTATTAATTCCTATTGGGGATGTATTCTATACAATACCAGTTGAGATAGTCCTATGTAATATCTTCTCTTTTCAGATTCAGGATTTCTTATTTCATGTCGAAATCAAATGCTCTGATAATTCCCAGATTGATGGTTAAAAACTAAACTTATATTAACTAACCCTCTGTTTCCTGATGACATCGCCCTATGCCTAAACAACTAGCAAGAAGTCTAGCAACAAAGAGTATTAAGAATTTTTTATCTTGAATAGAAGAAATATTAACCGAGTGAGATTTGCTTACAGCTTTAATTTCATGAAAAAAAAATTTGATGGATAAGCTTTATATGGTTGATTTTAAGCAGAATTTGGTAATTTTTGCATCATTCATTTTGTCTGGTGTAAAGACATCAGTCCCAACCCCTTTGCTATTCGTATGGAATAGATGCCGGAATTATCCTGAATTTCAAATTCCATCATTTTATGTTGAAGTCTATGATCAGAACCGAATGTTTGGGGTTTCTGCAATGATTTGCCAGCATCATGTCAATGAAAATAACAAATTACTAACTTATTCAGATATGAAACAAGCTCAAATCTGCTTAAAGAGCTTTTGCTTTAATGAACTACGATATAGAAACTATTTTAAGCCAAGATGGTATGGAAATTTTACTTGGTCATTACGTGAAAGTTGTATTCACATTGAAACAGAGCAAAATTACTGTCAATCACCATTTTCACATTACAAGCGATAAGGAGGGCTGTCACAAAGGCATTTCACCACTATCTAATATAACAACTTTGCTTATAGGCTCCCCACTCTGTCTTCCTTCAGTTTCAATCTTGCGGACAACATCCATCCCAGAAAGCACCTTGCCAAAGACAACGTGGTGGCCATCCAACCTGTGAAGAAAAGAAAAAGCATAGATGTGAGTTTGAGAAATTCCAGAGAAATGTAGGCAAAACCAGTCAATTCACATTATGGTCGATCCTGCTGCTACACTGTGGATTCCCAAAAGTCTAGTGCTCATTAATACTTCACCACCATGCTTAAGTAATGTAGTTGATAAAATCGATAACTTCATATGACTGATATTGGCACTTCCCAACTTGAGTGAAATATCTTTACCAACAATACCCTATCTTTATAGACATGCAGGAAAAGCTCGAAACAACAGCAGAAAAAATTACCAGCCAGTTATGACAGTTGTAATGAAGAACTGCGATGCATTGGTGTCTGGTCCAGCATTTGCCATTGACAGCAGCCCTGTTCTCAAGGAGGAAAAAAAAAAAATGGAAAGGGTGGAAGGAGATTCTTATCACATTCTTTGAAGCCTTTCAGCTTTGCAGCTACTACAAAACGGAAGCACAGAGGAAAAAAACTATTTACTTAAAGAGTGCAACTTACCTGGTCCAGTGTGTTTCAGCTTAAAATTTTCATCAGCAAACTTATCCCCATAGATTGACTCTCCACCCCGCCCATCACCATGGGTAAAATCACCACCCTGGATCATGAAGTTGGGAATAATCCTGTGGAATGTACTTCCTTTGTAATGGAGAGGTTTCCCACTCTTTCCAATCCCTTTTTCCCCTGCAGTGCGTAGGTTCAAAATCAGAATATGAAAGTTCTAAGCCTACTAGATGACTTGGTCTTGTATCATCAAGGATTTTTCTCAGCTTTATGGAATCCCAAATATTGCATTTTTCCTCATCATGATCATGAGTCGGCAAAAACAAAGTGAACTGATATAACAAACCATAATATAACGAGCATCTCAATCACATTTCTTATTCTTATACAAAGTATACACATCACATGTAAACAAACATATAACAAATATTAGCTTCAAAAGTTCAAATGGCATTTCTCTCCTAACTAACAACATAGCTGTTGAGCCTTCAACATTAGGCAGTTAGACTTCAGAACTCCGCTCGATATCATTCAAGTAAGTCATACTCAAACAAGAGAGAGATTCTTCTACCTCAGAATCTCTAAGGCATTGCTGCCCCATGATTCATTTAATCCCTGCCTTAGAGAAGAGGATGGTTCATTGCAAGGAAATTCTTAAGTATAGCAGTTACTTCTCATTAAGCAAAGAAATTATGATGCTCATTCAACATCTTTTGGTAAATATCCCAATATATGTACCATATGATTGGAAAGACAGTAATAAGATCAGTACATGCATAATTCAAAATTATTCACAAATATTAGCGAAACGCAAAAGTTAGTTGGCTACCCGTGCAAAGTGCGCGAAAGTTTTCTGCACAATACAAATCTATAATTAGTAACTCAACACTTTCGAGAACAATAAATTTCAATGTAACACGTAATGCAACATTCCCGAAGTGAAGATCATACCTGTGGTATTAGGAACAGTCTTTCCAAAGAGGCCCATGACTATGCGACCTGGAATCAAGAAATCAAGAACACGATACATTTTCATCAAGCAACACTTTGGTAAGTACACTGAAGAATTCAAAATAAGTATTTTATCGTTGATACTTAGCACAACAGAAACTAAAAGCAGCAATGTTTATTCTCTCGATTAAAAAGCAGAAATATCAATAGTGTTTTGCAGTCCAGTGATCTAGAAGTTAAACTATCACAATTCAAAGCAAATGCAACTGTAATCAGCAAAACATACCAATGGGTTTTCCACCAACCTCAATGTCAAAGTAAACTTTGTGGGTCACCTCATCCAGTTCCTCCTCTACATTCTCTTCCTAAATAAAATAAAAATAAAAATATAAAAAACCCACACACGGAGAGAATAAGATCAAATGCATATATTAATTAACACACCAACAAATACCCATAAACTATGACTCCCAGATCAGCACCAAAATAAAAACCCACCTGAGTGAGCTTAGTACTAGCGATTTTCTGCTCCGATGAAACCCCAACATCGCTTAAACGATTCTAAACGAAAAAAACAAGCACAATAATTAATCAAAACAGTTTCATTGAAAAAAAAAAAATCAAAACTTTTTGTTAATTACCCAGAAAGGGAAGTACCTGAATGAAAGCAAGGGTAGCAAAAAGAACAAGAATCCACAAAAGAGTGACGGAGACCAATCTTGTCTTGGTGGCCATCTCTCTGCTGCTGTTTGGAAAAATGAAACCGCTGCTTCGTCTGGAATTAAAATGTGAAGATCTATCTGGGTTTGGAAGATCACGATTTCCGGTCGTTAAGGTTTAGGTGCGTTAATGTTCAAGTGGAGTTCAGTCCACGGAGAGTACGTGGTCTATCTATTTATGTTGTGCCATTGTAGCGACGAATAAACTAATAACGGCCGAAATGGTTGAAAAACGGTATTAGTGATTTAATCCCAAAAACTAATTTTTATTAAGGAAGTTTATTAAATGTTAAAAATTTGGGAAATTTTACTTAACAACCAAAAAGGATTTATCTTAGGGTTTATATGGTTTTTAGGGGTGTTCAAAAGAATCGATTGGAACCAAAACCGACGGGTATTCGAGGTTTGGTTCTAGTTCCTACCCAGAACCGGTCGTCAACGGGTAGGTTTCGGTTCCAAATTTTTTGAACTGTTGCTATATGGTTTCGGTTTCGGTTCCTATAGTTAGAAACCGGAACCAGAACCGGGAACCGAGACTAATATAAAATAAAATTAAAGAGTATGAGGGTTAATAAAAAATTTTGTAGAAAAAGTAACGTGAATACATTTATATTTATATTTCGTAGCATTTAAAGTAAGTTAGTAAGTTGGTTTGACTTTTGAGAATCTACCTTTACAAAGTAATGGAGTTTGTAATTTTGAATTTATAATTTGTAATTTTATTTTTGTTAACAAGTGCCAGGTGGGGGGGCTATTGTAAGTTTTTAAGAGTTTTTTTTTTACCATCTTAAAAACTTTTGAGGGGTCATTGTAATTTTATAGGGTACCCAAAACCAGAACTGGAACCATTGTTATAGAACCGGAACCATTGTTATAGGTTTCGGTTCTGGGTACCTAGGAATCGGAACTGTCGGTTTTGGTTTCGATTCCAAATTTCAAGGAATCGTCGGTTCTGATTCCTTCAAAAAATGCAAGGTACTCGGAACCGAACACCCCTATCGATTTTTATCAAATTCTATTCGATAGAATTCTATTCAATAATTTGTTATGGGTTAGAATTCTATTTTATCTAATTTGTTAGGGGTTAGAATTCTATTCAATAGAAACCGTTAGATTCAAATACAAAACCCCGATAAACCCTAACCAATAGGGTTGAATACAAAAGTGAAGGCGGCTCTATCAAATAGAGTTTGTATTGCTTCAATATTTTATCTAATATTGTTCGATTATCGGTTAATTTCCAAGTAAGGGCAATTTGGTCTAATAAGACTATTTCTGATAAACTTTTACAAAAGATTATTTCTCGATTCACACCAAAAAGGGTTACTTAAAATTTCATGAACGTATTTTCTATTTAAATTATAGTTTTAGTATGACTAATTTGCACGCACGCCAACTAATCATGGGGTCCATTGAGCCCCTACAAGTCCAATGGGCTAGGTATCTCAACTAATCTTATGATATATTGAACACTCTACTAGCCCAATGAGTCAAGTACCTTAACTAATCTTAGGGTCTAATCTAGCCTTAACTAATCTTGGGATCTATTAAACATCCTACAAGCTCAATTGACCAAATACCGCAACTAATCCAAGAGTCCATTGAACACCTACAAGCCCAATAGACTTGGTAAGTGACAAATGTGATAGGTGACCACTTTGTGTGACTCGAACACAAAACCTCTAGATAACTCAAAGTCTTACCATTCGCCCACAAGCAAAGTGATTCTAAATTTCTTTTTAGAGAAATATCATTATAATTTATGGTATAATAAAGACACATCAAAAGAAGTAGTCATGCAAAAAATTTCATTTTAAGTGAGGTTGAATTGGTTGACACTTCCACTTCATGAACAATGATATACCAACTCTCATTAATTAATTAAAAAAATATTTCACTGAACTTGAGATTAGTTTATTTAATTAATCTACAAGATTTGATTTTAAGAGGAAAATTAATGAGCCTTTTTTGTAGATGAATGACAAAGACCTCTAACATTTAATTTCAAGACAAAAATATTGAATGCTCTATTTTATTTTCTCTGTGAATCTCAAACCACCTCAAGTAATTAAATTATTTTCTGTCAATTTAATATTTCATACTCTTAGGATTTGACTTTAAGATAGAAAAATGCTATATCTATAACTTATTCTCACAAACTTCCTCTCACAATCTCGACGTGAAAACTTATAATTAGTCAGCTCATAATGAGTCTCACCTAATAAATTACGGCTAACCAATTGCGAGCTGACATTTCGAGATTGTAAGAGAAAATTTGTGAGAAGAAGTTATGGGTGAAAAATTACTCCTTTAAGATATGACATTTATTCTCATTTAATTTTCTATTCAATGACATTGACACCCACTAATCTTTAAAAAAAATATCCAACTTAATTTCCAAATTCTAATTATAGACCAATTCAAACATCTTTAATTGTATCCCTCCATTCTTTCTTTTACCTTTCTTAATTTTCTAAACCTAAGTTTATGAATTTAATTTGGATAACAACCTTCTCACTTAATATTAAATAGACCCTTAATATTTGAAAATTGTATCATCGATACCCATTTGCTCTAACTCTGGTACGTTGTTGTTTGTATTAGAGGGGCAAAATTGTAACTTTCATTTATAATAAGATGTTTTGAGAAAATTTTAAAGAAATTGTTAGTGTTGAGACTTGAATCTTAGATGGATAGGAGGAATGAATATTTTAAAACCATTTAACAAGAAGGGTAATATGGTAATTTATTCTTGCAAACCTAACAACAATCTAGAGTTAGAGCAAAAGCCAAAAGGGTATCAGTGTAAGGTTTTCAAACTTTGAGGGTCTATTTGATAACACAAAGGGGTGTTAGTGATAAAGTATTCAAAACTTTTGACAGTCCATTCTATAAAAATTGCTAACCTTTGAGAGAAGAAGAGAAAAAATGGAGCTATAATAACACGTCTCAATTAAAACAATGAGAGCTCCAAATAAGACTCCTGAATATCAGGGTCTTCATACACCTCTCCCTCTCTTTCTTCCCAATTCAAACCTCTCCATTTTCTTCTCTCCTCTGCCTCTTCTTCCTCCTTCTGTCCTCTCAGAGGACAGAAAATTAAAAAAAATACATAAAATCCTTAAACTCATATCAAAATTATGGGTAGCTACAAGAAAGAAAAGAAAGACTACAGCGATCAACAAATCAACGGTAACAATGGAGGAGATACTACTTACCGCTACAAGATGTTTGTTTTCAAAAGGAAGTTCAAAATACCGGAGCCGGAGCCACCGCTGGACGTTAAACGTGAGTTTTTGAAATATTCATACGACTGTCTTCACATGGACCCTGATGGGCTCCATCGTTTTTTCGTTGAGCACCAAGGCGACGTCGACCTCACCATTTCTCAAGCTCAAGATATTATTAAAAGTCTTATTCGTAGTAGAGATAATGTGACTAGATATACTCTACGTGGACTCACCCTCGATGATTTCTTTTATTTTCTCTTGTTTGATGACGAGTTTAATGGCCCTATCAAACTCCAGGTCACCTCTCTCTCTCTCTCTCTCTCAGTTATTTCTTATATTGATTTACGGAGTCATTTATGAAACAAATTCAAATGTTTTCTTATAGTTTATGTTAACTTTCATTCAAAATCCTTTAAGAAATCAACAAATTTCATGCAATTTTTCCATTGATTTTCTTTTTGTTCATATGATATGGGTTTTGTTTATTGGTTTTAATGGAGTTGACTGCAATATCTTTGGAATAACCGTCGCAAAGTTTTCATATTACATAATTAGAGCCTGTTAAAGTCTCTTGTCTTTTCTATTAATTCATTTCTGTTTGTCAGATTCATAGACAGTTTCTGTAAAAGATAGTTTAAAGTTCGGTCTTGACAGAATTAATTAAACCTAGTTAATTCCAGGTACACAACGATATGACTGCTCCATTGTCGAATTATTTCATATATACAGGCCACAATTCTTACCTAACTGGGAATCAACTGAGCAGTGATTGCAGTGTGGTTCCAATTGTAAAGGCATTGGTACGAGGTGTCAGAGTTATTGAATTAGATTTATGGCCTAATTCTAACAAAGATGATATTAATGTTCTTCATGGAAGGTATATATTCACTCTAATCCTCTGATTATTGCCATTAATTTTCAGTAATTTCATCATTTAACCTTTCACATCAACAAAAATTCATGTTACATCATCGTTATTTGAATAACTACAGGACCTTGACCGCTCCAGTGTCACTTATTAAATGCTTGAAGTCCATTAAAGACTATGCTTTTTCTACTTCTCCATACCCAGTGATTATAACTTTAGAAGATCATCTTCCTCCAGACCTTCAAGCTAAAGTTGCAGAGGTCAATTTTCAATTTCCTTTTCTCAAGGATTTCAGTTTCTTCTTCATGACCTTAAATAATCATTTTTGTTTTCTTTTTATAATGTAGATGCTGAATCAAGTATTTGATAAAATGCTGTATTATCCACAATCAGAATCCTTAACAGAATTTCCTTCACCAGAGTCATTGAAATACCAGATTATCATCTCCACAAAACCACCAAAAGAGTACCTTGAAAAAGAAAATGGAGTTGTCACAATGAATAGATTAAATAATTTAAAGGGTTCATTTAAAGAACGAGCATCACAAGAAAATGGAGTTGTCACAATGACTAGATTAAATAATATAAAGGGTTTATGTAACGAAGAAGCATTACTAGAATTAGAATTAGGTGATGACAGTGATCCAGATGATTTTGAAGTAAGTGAAAGTTGTCCCAATAAGGATAGCCAACTAGCAGTGGCTCCTGAATACAAAAGTCTAATTACCATTCATGCCGGAAAACCAAAGGGTCACTTAAAGGATGCACTAAAAACTGCTATTCAAGTTAAACGTCTTAGCTTGAGTGAGCAGGAACTTGAGAGAGCCGCCGTCTCTCATGGAACTGATGTTGTAAGGTATAGTTCTTCTTTTCTGCAATGTTCTGAATTTCATTCAAATAGTCCGCACTTGAGAATTTTCATCAAACTTTCAGGTTTACACAGAAGAATATATTGAGAGTATATCCAAAGGGAACCCGAGTGAACTCCTCAAATTATGAACCACTTGTTGGATGGATTCATGGGGCTCAGATGATTGCATTTAACATGCAGGTTAGCTTTGAAACTTGCAGAATTTAATCTGTTTTGATTGAATTAAGGAACCAACTAAAGCCTTGAAAAATCAAAGCTAAATGATGAGGGTGATTCAATAAATAGTTATTTATGAATCGTTCATATTCACTTGTCATTAGGCCATCTCTCTCCACCAAATAAAATCATACTAACACGCGAGTTCTCCTTTAAAAGGGATATGGGAAATCTCTCTGGAAGATGCATGGCATGTTTAGAGCTAACGGCGGGTGTGGTTATGTGAAGAAACCAGAATTTCTAATGCAGGAGGGTCCCTGTGAAGAAGTATTCGATCCTAAAAGACCATTGCCAGTAAGAAAGAGATTGAAGGTTAGCAGCTTACTAATTTACCTTAAAGTTAAAACACACTTACTTGAAGGATTCTTTTCTCACAGCAGTTTTCTGTCAATTTATAGGTGAAATTATACATGGGAGATGGATGGCGCTTGGATTTTAGCCAGACACACTTCGACAAGTACTCACCGCCAGACTTTTACACAAAGGTTTGTTCAATTATTCACCCTCCAACACATCGCTCCAAATAATTTCCCAACACATTTATCTGAACCTGCAAATATCTTCAGGTTTGCATTGTTGGGGTGCCAGCTGATAAAGCCAAAAGGAAAACAAAGATAATCGAGGATAACTGGTGCCCAGTTTGGAATGAAGAATTTACATTTCATCTAACAGTTCCAGAACTGGCTCTTCTCCGAATCGAAGTCCGAGAATACGATCTTTCGGAAAAGGATGATTTTGGTGGGCAAACATGCTTGCCCGTCGTAGAATTGAAACCAGGAATCCGATCAGTCCCACTTCATGATAAAAAGGGAGAGAAACTCAAATCTGTAAGGCTCCTAATGGGGTTTGAATTTGTATAACTCTTGTAGTGTATAACTCTTTTAAGTTATCCAATCCCAGGATATAATTTTCAGTACTATAATTTCCCCCTGGGCCTTGAAGAAACAGTTGATGTTTCTGTTTGTTCTTGATGATAATTTTGCTTTATATTGAAGCCAAAATAGGCAATTTTGCACGCCATGTACGAGACAAGTTTCATAGAGTAAACGACTTTTTCCCGCCCAGGTTTGCCTTAATGACATTTTCCCATCTAAAAAGTTTCAAAATACCACTTTATCATCCAAAGTTTATATTTCATTAATACTCAAAATATACTTCACTTGCTCAACCGACATTCGATAAATTATCAGGAACTAAGATAAGAAAGGTTTTATAAAATGGAAGCCGGTGTGACTAATAGAATATTCGTTGTCGGAATCAATCGAAAATTATTTAAGAACAAGAAACCCTAACTTTGTAATAGTCAATAATCGGTGAGAAATCAAGTGCTAGAGTAAGAGAGATTTTATAAAGAGGAAATCGAAGGTTCAAATGGTAGTGACGGATAAAAATTTTGCCATCGAAAATTGGTTTTGAATAATAATAGAATATCCACTTTGGGTTAAAAAAATGATATTTTGAAACTTTTTTAATGAGAAAGTGTCATTTAAGGCAAACCTTGGATGGGAAAAATTCGTTTACTCAGTTTCATAATGGTAAACAATCCATGCTACATACTTAACTTAGATTATGTACTATTATGGTCACTAATTATAATTATTAGATTAATTAATCATGACTATAAATAGATAAAGTTAATTAAACACAAATTATGATTGGATTAGCCCTAGCCGACCAGAGGGAGTTATTACGTGGGGTCTACGGTCTAATGTCGCTGCCAACTTCAATGCATGACCACAGAGACTGAACCCATTTAAATGATTGATTCAATTTTACAGATGAGATTAATGTCTCTGTTGTAAAAAGTCAATACTAGACATACTTTATTTATTAAATAATTTAATTGCTGGCATGCCACGTTTTACACGATGGATTCCTCTATTTGTTCTTTTATCTTGTGACGAAATGACGAGTGACGACAACATATTTGGATCATATTCTTAAAAAAACAAATTAAGAAATTAAATTCAAGGTCTGAATGGTAAATTCCATATTTGATAATTTTACTCGTGTAAGTCTATTGGTTAATTTATTAAATAAATAAATTTGGAGTCAATTGCAAGCAATGACAAGTCACAGTATTTCTTTCTCCTAATAACTCCTAATCTCACCTTATTAATTATCATATCGGCCGAACGACATCCTCCCACTCAAACTTTTCCTAAAAGATAATTTAGTACCCAAATAATTTTAAAATGACAAACAACTACTTTCTGTCAGACTCTGTTAGTAAAATCCGTTAACTAACATGACATTATTGATATTCTTTCATTCTTAAAGGGTAATTTTGACTTCTTAAGCTACAGAATCCCTAATTTTTTTTTTCATTCTTTCCATGTCATCTCTTCATCTTCTTTGCCTCCTCTTTCTCATATCGTTTTTACTTCTTCTCATACTTTCTTAGCCAAAGTTATGAATCTAAACACAATCCTAGAACGACAGAACTAATGACCCATTTCAAGGAATTTATACACTATACAAGATGAAAAAAATTAAAAACAACAAAACGAGGCATGGTTATAGAGGCGTTGAGTTCAAAAGGGTAGTAGCATTGGCTTCATCATCAAAGCTCCAAAGATCACCAACAACACTTTCCTGGATAATATTATTGGGCATAGGTGATTGGCCATCCAGATAGGAATCTGATACAACTTCGTGAAATTTGCGTATGCAATTAGCTCCTTTGACAACTTCTGCACTTCGTTCTCTTCTTCCTGAGCTTTTCGCATTTCCTCCTCTTTCACATTAACTTGAGCATTGTGCACGTTCTGCACCTCTGTTGAATCATAGCTACACTCAGAGCCAGAACCAGAGCCATAATTGTCCTCAACAGGAGAAACAATCTGGTCAGCAATCTCAACCCCATATCCTTCTATCTGGTTGAGACCATAACCAAACTCCAAGCCAAATGTTTTAGATTGTATGAATTTAAGATTAGAAACGGATTCGTTGAGATTTGGAGGAAGCGTTTTGATGGGGGAGGAGAGGGAGGAGGTGGAAGTGTTGGTGGTGGTTGGGGTAGCGGAGGAGAAGGAAGTTGTGGGGGGTTTGCGGGATTGTTCAAGCTCTTCTTGTCTTTGATCTTAATTTGTATTTTGCCGGCTTTTCTTTTCAGCACTGTCAGATAGTTTGCTTGCATAAGCAAAGATTAGAGAATTAGGGATGCCAAAATTCTAACCGTGTTTTATGGGTGGATTCTGGAATGTTTTGGCTTCATTAAAACTACCAACATGTCCTTCTTCAAACACATTTCACTAACAGATTCTGACGGAAAGAGGTTGTTTGTCATTTCAAAATTTTTTGGGTACTAACTGGTGTTTAAGGCAAAGTTTGGGTGGGAGGATGTCGGCCAGCCTTATCATTTCTGATACAAAGTAGTTGTCGTCCTAATTCCATCTGTCACGTGGGCCCCACCCGAACCGGTCATTATTTATTGTAGATCCCTCCCGGCCATCCTATGTCTGCAACATTTCTGGAAATATCCTCCCAAAATTATCAATCAACATTCAAACACTAGCCGTATTGTGTTTTGTGGATTGTCGTTTTATCACTCACTTGTACACACACTGTCTCCCTGGAGCTAGGGATCTAGCTGTTCTCATGTCCAAACAGACCTACCGAGTGTGCTTCTGTTTCCGGCGGCGGTTCCATGAGACCGTATCGGAAGCGCCGGACGCGATCAAGTCTTTGTTTGACCAGTACTCGGAGAATGGCACCATGACCGTTGATCATCTCCAACGCTTCTTGATTGAGGTCCAGCAAGAAGCTAACGCCACCAAGGAGGACGCCCAAGCTATTTTTGATAGCTTACGTCACCTCAAACATTTGAATATTTTTCATCGAAAGGGCTTCAATCTTGAAGCTTTCTTTAAGTACCTCTTCGGTGATGTTAATCCTCCGCTCTCTCCTTCAATTGGGGTAATTTCGTAATCTTTTACAATTTTCTCTTCTATAATGTTCAATTTTGTGAACTTCTTTTTTTGTTTTAATTTGGCTAGTTGGAAACTGAGCTTCGTTCAGCTCAGCTTTTTAGTGTTTTGTTTTAATTTGAGGTAAATTAACTCGGTGTTGAGTGGTTATGTATTTTCTGGTTGGTTCCCTAGAAAATGAGGGAAAAGAGGAACTTAAAATTTTTTTTCCCTTAATTTAGTTAATAAAACTGTTTCTGAGTTCATATTTTGATTTTTAAGTTTTCATTAGAATAAAGTATTATATATTGTTTTCTGAACTTTTTTTTTTATTATGAAGTGCATAAAATAATTTGAGTTTATTGCGGAATATTTTTTAAGGCTGTAACTGAGTCCTATTCTCTTACATATATGGCTAAAAGAATGTAAAATGTTCAGTTCTATACTTCAAATGCTGTTATGGAAATTCTGTTCAATTCATATAAGTTGTCTCACTTTGCTTTTTATAGTTTACAAATAGGGAAATAATTATCGATTCTTGTAACGTGCATGAGCTATCTATTTATTAATTTTATTGCGAATCCGTTTCTTTGGTTTCAGGTGCACCATGATATGACTGCCCCTTTGTCTCATTACTTCATATATACTGGCCACAATTCATATTTAACCGGGAATCAGCTTAATAGTGACTGCAGTAATGTCCCCATCATACAAGCCCTGCAAAGAGGTGTGAGAGTAATTGAATTGGATATATGGCCAAATTCCAAGAAAGATGATGTGGATGTTCTTCATGGAGGGTATGGCTTTAATGAGCAGATGGCCAATTTTTATATAATGCTGTGGGATTCTCTGTTTTATTGAATGAGGAGACATAGCATTTCTTATAAAATCATTTGTTTTGTTGTAATCTTTTAGTGGTTAAGTCATCAATTCTAATTTGACAAAGTTTTCTAGGTTTTGAAAGATACTGGATTATGAATGAATTGTTTTTGTTTCTAATTAGGGGATTGGTTTTCTTTGTATAGGACACTTACTGCTCCGGTGCAACTTAAATTATGTCTGGAGTCTATCAAGGAGCATGCTTTTTTTGCATCTGAGTATCCAGTTGTTATCACCCTAGAAGACCACCTTACTCCAGATCTACAGGCTAAAGTCGCTGGGGTGAGTCTCTGCATTTCTACAGGGATTTAAACCTCTCATGACATGTGATTTATATTTTTTTGACCAATTTCTAGATGGTGACTCAAACATTTGGAGATATCCTGTTTACTCCTGGCGCAGAAACCTTAAAGGAGTTCCCCTCTCCTGAATATCTGAAGAGACGGATTATCATTTCAACCAAGCCACCAAAAGAATACCTCGAGGCCAAAGAAGCTAAGGAAAAAGAGGATGTTCCTCAAAAGGGTAACGGTGCAGCTGATGAAGAAGCATGGGGCAAAGAAGTTCCAAACCTTAAAGGTGTGGACCGTGTGACTAGTACTGTTGACAAGGTATGTGGAGGTATTGTATATAACGTAACAATTCAAGTTATGTTATTTTACTTGCTGATAAACCATATATTGGTAGGATGATTCAGATGGATGTAACAACAATGATGAAGATGATAAGTCCCAGCATTATGCAGCACCAGAGTATAAGCATTTAATTGCTATTCATGCTGGGAAGCCCAAAGGTGGACTAAAGGAATGTTTGAAGGTGGATCCTGATAAAGTGAGACGTCTTAGCTTAAGTGAGCAACAGCTTGAAAAGGCTGTAGAAACTTATGGAAAAGATATTGTCAGGTGTTGATAACATATCTAACATGTCTTTCATTTATTGGCTTTGTGATATATATACCACGCCTAAGTATATGTTTTTATCTATTATCAAGGAGCAAAAAAATTGATATTCTAATGGTTGGCCCCCTATAGGTTTACTCAGCGAAATATTCTCAGGGTGTATCCAAAGGGCATTCGCGTTGACTCATCAAATTACAACCCACTTATTGGTTGGTCACATGGGGCTCAGATGGTTGCATTTAATATGCAGGTTTAGTATTTTAATCTTTACCCATATATGGATTTCTTATTCTTTTAATATATATTGATATATTTGTAGCAACTTTTGCTTGTTGATCAACCTTGAACAGATAGTCGCCTTAAAAGGTTGAAGGTTTGTGGTATTATGACATTCTGTGATCTAATTATCAGACCCATGCGTTTCACACTAAATATCGTGATGATGTTATGTGATGGATCACATTAGTATTTGTGGCCGACACTAAAATCACATAGGAGATTATGCATGCATGTTGTCTTTTTGTTTATGTGATTCAGTAGTTAGATTGGAGATGTTAATGCTTCCATGAATGTATGTAGAGATTTGTTTCAGCCATTACATGGAAAACACTTTATGGGATATAGAAGAGAATATAGGATAAAAAAAGGCTTTATATAATAAGTTGGAAATCTTTATTACCATCTGTGTTCAATACATTAAGCATTTTAGAAGTTTGCCTCTTCAACTATGAAGAATGTATTTCCCCTTGACAGGGATATGGTAGGTCTCTCTGGTTGATGCATGGAATGTTCAGAGCCAATGGTGGGTGTGGCTATGTTAAGAAACCAGATTTTCTGTTGAAGGCTGGTCCTCATAATGAGGTCTTTGATCCAAATGTTAATTTACCTGTGAAAAGAACTTTGAAGGTGAATGCTTTATTGCCGTGCCTTTCCTTTATAGTCATCTTATATATTTTCCTGTGGCTTTTTTGATGAAATCCCATTTTACAAATTCCATTTGGTTTACTGAGAAGGTGATCGTTTATATGGGCGAAGGATGGTATTACGATTTTCATCACACTCACTTTGATGCATATTCCCCTCCAGATTTTTATGCAAGAGTAAGTTGATCTAATACAACTTAGTCTGATGCAAACGGCTAACTTTCCATCCTAATTTGTTTATGATGTATTCATGGTCAAAGTATCAAATTTGTTAATCTCTGAGCAGGTAGGGATTGCTGGAGTTCCAGCCGATACTGTAATGAAGAAAACAAAGACCCTAGAGGACAACTGGATACCTGCTTGGAATGAGGAGTTCGAGTTCCCCCTAACTGTTCCAGAACTCGCGTTGCTTCGGATTGAAGTTCATGAGTATGACATGTCCGAAAAGGATGACTTCGGAGGCCAAACATGCTTACCTGTTTCAGAGCTACGAAGGGGGATTCGTGCAGTTCCACTCCATAACCGCAAGGGAGAGAAGTACAACTCCGTGAAGCTCCTTATGCGTTTCGAGTTCAGTTGATGTTATTATTAGTTCTTTACCGGAAGATCTGGGAGAGATGTACAAAGTTGTGAAGCTACTATGAATTTGATTGTCTATGTTGTTCTGAGCTTGTTTGTCGTTCATGTATACATAAATGGCACTGCTCTAAATATTATGTATTGCTGCTATATGTTTGAGCTGCCAACGTTTTGTGCTGTAATAATTAATACTGTATAAAATGTGACGAGATTCTTGGCTCCATTTGGTTTATTATTTGATGATTTTTAGGATAGTATTTTGAAAAAAAAAAAATTAATTATCTTTACGAGAAAGATAATTATTAATATTTTATAAAATAATAAAATATAATAATATTTTAAGAATATCGGAATAAATATATGTTTTGGTTAATTTTTGTTTAACTTTATTAAGAAAACTAGAATAGTATTTTAAAAGAGTTTATCAAAAGTCTGATTATTGTATCTGAAGTGTATTCAGTAAGTCCCCTTTATTTGTACTTGGATTCTTTTCCAAAATTTAAATTAAATAATAAAACCTTTTCATAAAGAGTAAATTGTTATAAACTCAAATTGATATAATCTGTAACGGATAATTAAGCAACTTCAACCTTTTTCCGTATGCACCTCACGTGACCCGAGACCTCTCCATGGCGCCATCAAAATCCTCGATTGTGTAAACTTAAGAGTTACAAAGTGAGCGAACAAAAACCCGATCTTCAAATCAACTTTCAAAAATCTCCAAAATGACCTCTACCGTCGTCAACTACCAACACCACCTCTTATCGGACTCCGACACCGATTCCGACAACGGCCACACCGAATCATTTCCCGACCTCTCTAACTCCATTTTCAAACCCTACCTCGAATCAGCGAATAACCAATTATCATTCGCCACGTCTTCATCGCCAGACCTCTCAAAGATCCAATCCTTCCTCAACTCGTCCTCCTCCGGCGCTCTATCATGCCTTATCTGCCTCGAACGCATCAGACCCTCCGATCCTACGTGGCACTGCTCCTCCCTCTGTTTCTCCCTCTTCCACCTCATCTGCATTCAATCATGGGCCCGTCAATCCTCCGATCTATCCGCTGCACTCGCTGCTTCCCGCCTCCCTATCACCGCCGAGAAAGCCGCTGAATCCTCCACGTGGAACTGCCCAAAATGCAGGTCTCAGTACTCAAAATCAGAAATTCCGAAACACTATTTCTGCTTCTGTGGAAAATTAAAGGATCCTTACAGTGAAGATCCGTGGATTTTGCCACATTCTTGTGGCGAAGTCTGTAACAGACCGTTGCAACACAATTGTGGGCACTTTTGTTTACTGTTGTGTCACCCTGGTCCCTGCCCATCTTGCCCGAAGTTAGTTAAATCATCTTGTTTTTGCGGCAAGGTTCACGAGGCTCGTCGCTGTGGATTCAAAAACTTCTCGTGTAACAAATCATGTTCAAAACCGCTAGACTGTGGATCCCACAAGTGCTTACAAATATGCCACGACGGCGCTTGTCCGCCGTGCAAGGCACGTGCAGTGTACAGATGCCAATGTGGTAGGGTTCAACAAGAGAGGGAGTGTTGTGAGAGGGATTTTAGATGTGAGAAAGAGTGTAAGAGATTGCTAAGCTGTGGAAAGCATGTTTGCGAGAAAGGTTGTCATACGGGGGAGTGTGGGGATTGTCCTCTGCAAGGGAAGAGGACATGTCCTTGTGGAAAAAGAGAGTACGAGGGAATGCCTTGTGATGTTGTCGTGCCGATGTGTGGGGCCACTTGTGATAAGACATTGAGCTGTGGCTTACATCGCTGTCCTGAAAGGTGCCACCGCGGCCCCTGTATTGAGACATGTAGAATTGTCATTGCTAAGTTGTGCCGGTGTAGGAGCTTGAAGAAAGAGGTATACAACATTGTTTAACCCAAAATGTTATGATACAGTAGATGATGAATGTGTAGTTATAGGATAACTTGATGCTGTTGCATTTGAAATTAAAATGCATTAATTGAATGTAGAATATAATCATGAATTAATATTGCATTGTTTTATAGGTAAGTTTATGTAGTTTCACAATTTTCAACATTGGTTGTCCACTCAAATTGTAGTATATATCAGTGATGTGTAGTTATGTAGATCATTTTATGCTGTTGCATTCAAAATTGAAATATTGCATTGTTTTTATGGGTAGTTTTGTAGCTTAATTTTTATATTGGATCCTTTAACTGAATCTAGAGTAGGTTCCTTGCTATCAGGATTTGGCATGTGAAAGGAAGTGTCAAAGAATGAGAGATTGTGGACGTCATGCTTGTAAGCGTCGTTGCTGTGATGGGGACTGTCCACCTTGCTCAGAGGTGTGTCTTGCAATATCTGGTTCCAGCTTGCTTTCAGTTTATTTTAAGCTCCTTAATTGCATTTGGCAATGCATTAACTATTTGGAATTTTAGTTTTGCGGCAAGAGGCTTCGATGTAGGAACCACAAATGTCCATCCCCTTGTCATCGGTATGCTACCTCTCATATTTTGATTATTCCTTTATCATATACATGAGGTTGGTCCACCGTATAAATGTTGAACTGAAAGTGATGAATTTCATGATGTTCGTTGTTGGTGAAAACTCTTGGTAGTTTTTGGACCTTCATCCTGTATTTTTCATCTCAGGTCTCTACTTTGCTAACTTTGAATTATAAGTGTAGGAAATGAGGAAAAAATTGAGATATACAGGTCATATTTAGTATGATAAGTATAAAAGATCTGAATCTAGCTACATTAGTGGTAAAACTTGAACTATAGCTAAAAGGAACTCAGCAGATTTTGTAAGTTATTATTTATTTTAGGAGGCATAATATGATAATGGTCATATATGTTCTTGTAGTGGTCCCTGTGCTCCTTGTCCTCTGATGGTGACTATTTCATGTGCTTGTGGGGAGACACGCTTTGAGGTGAGAATTTGGTTTGCATATGATCTTTCTTAGCTCAGGCTCAGGGTAATAGTTTATGTCACTTGGTTAATCTGTTTTTACTGAATATTTTGTGTTAGGTTCCCTGTGGTACTGAAATGGATCAAAAGCCTCCTAAATGTCGGAAATCATGCCATATAACTCCTTTATGTAGGCATGCATCAAATTGCAAGGTACTATTGGTTGCCGATTCCTAGTTATCTGCAATATTAAGCTTGTGGTTGTTAATGGAGCTTTCTGAGACAACTATTGTTTAGAAGTTGTATGTTAAGTGTGAGGTATCTGCACAATAATAGATCAGTTTCTTCTAACTGGGAAGCACGCTTGGTTGAATCTTGTATGATCTTTTCTCTGGTTCATGTGATGCCTATAGATTAGAACTTTCCAAGTGCAGTAATAAAGTTAATATATTTGAGAAATTGGGATTTTTTTTACTGCAGTTGAACAGGCAGTTATGTGTCTGAATGGCTGCATCCTGATTGACCATCTGTTCTTTTCTCTAGATCTTATCTTCTTGCTTTTATTCATGATAATTCTGTTTATTCTTTTTTGTTCATTGGATCCTTTAGGTGAGAATTTTGTTTGTATTGTTTTTCAAAGTTTACAACATATTGCTGAAGAGGTTGTTTGCATGGCAAACCTTGTCTATTTTTGTGCAGCCTCACAAATGCCATTATGGAGCTTGTCCCGCCTGCCGGCTAATTTGTGAAGAGGAATACCCATGTGGCCATAAGTGTAAATTAAGGTTTGTAGAATAATCCAGCCCATGAATGTTTCTCTCCACATTTTATTTGGAGTGAAATTCCAGATTGTATTGTTCTCTTTTTTATGTTCCAGGTGCCATGGCCCTAGACCTCCTCCTAATCCAGAATTCACGTTAAAACCAAAGAAAAAGAAATCAAATAATCCCAGTGAACCTACTCCTGGTTCTCCGTGCCCTCCTTGCCCAGAGCTTGTTTGGAGGTCATGTGTTGGTGAGCACATGGGAGCAGAGAGGATGGTTAGTGTTATTTTAGAATGTTGGAAGCAGTACATGAGTTATCCAATTTGCATCATAAATGTTCTTTCCTCATTTCAGATGGTTTGCTCAAATAGAGCACAGTTTTCCTGCGAAAATTTGTGTGGGAATCTTCTTCCTTGTGGCAATCACTTTTGTACAAAAACTTGCCATGCTCTGAAGAATCAATCTTCGTCATCATTTGAAGGGAGAAGCAGCAAATTTTGTGAAGATTGCAATCTTCCTTGCCAGAAGGTATTAAATCTTCAAAGGTTGACATGCTGTCATATTTTTTATGCACTCTTTTTTCCTTCTATTCGTTACTTAAATTTCATAGGATTGAAAGCATGCCGTGTATAATTCTGATTTATCACCAGATGCAAAAAAACCATACTTGAATTATTACTTATTCTAGTAGTGGAATTCATAAACTGTTTTGTTTGTCCTAATTTTTGTTCAGGAGAGGATGCCTGCTTGTCCACATCCCTGTCCCCTGCGATGTCATCCAGGAGAATGCCCCAATTGCAAGGTCCTTATAAAACGGTCTTGTCATTGTGGTTCAATGGTGCATGTTTTTGAATGCATTTATTACAATACATTGTCAGACAAGGAGCAAATCACTGTTCGCTCATGTGGTGGTCCCTGCCACAGGTAATTCATAGATTTTGCTTTTATTACGTATCAGGTTGGTATGCGGTCATCTTTTATGTGCATGTTGTATTATTTTCTATGCATCAAATTCTTGATCCAATTTCTTTAAGCATGTGTTATTATTGCAACTCTTGTTGTATATAGTTCTTTTTTTCTCTCATTCCTTCTTTAATAAAAGATCATATATTGGTTTAGTTCAGAATGGCTTGCCTACGGTGTTCTAATGCAATGAAATTTTTGGTACTGATATGATGCTTCTGATGCAGAAAGTTACCCAACTGTACACATCTATGCCCAGAGATTTGTCATCCTGGTCAGTGTCCTTCGCCTGAAAAGTGCTGCAAAAAGGTAAAACTGCCAATCAATATGAATTCACAAACTCAGTGCCCATTACCCAGTATATACAGATCCATTTATGTATATTGTTATGTGATTTTCTGTGTCTTCTCTTTCTTTTCAAGATTAATGTTCGTTGTGCATGTCAAACCTTAAAGAAGGAGTGGCAATGTCAGGATGTTCAAGCAGCCTATCGCAATACTGGTTGTGATCCAAAAGATATATCTAAAAATCAGTTTGGAGTTGGACTTCTACCTTGCAATTCTGACTGCAAGAGGAAAGTAAAAGTTGTTGATTCCATGTTACAGTCACGCAAGCCTAAAGTCTTGGAGGTAACACATTTATAGTCCAACTTGAAACATATAATTTAAGTTGCGTCATTTATTTCAGACAACCCATACCAATATTCTCTTCTTAAGTGTCATTTGACCTTCCGCAGTAGATTGTTTTGCTTAATAGAATAAACCGTATAATGCCTGGTGTCTCTACTCAAAATACTTTTCATCTGGTTACTAAGATCTGCCTACTGATGGTTTGTTCACTTGTAGTTTTTCTTGTTATACCATCATGTATTCGCGTTAATTTAGCTTATAAGCATTCATGCATGATGGTAGCTATTTGGGGAATGACCTGAAATTTAATTATATGCTGTCTTGGTTAAAGGAAAAAGAACCATCTACCGAGAAACACGTAGGAAAGCGCAGGAAAAAACGTGATCGCGTTCAAGAAACAAAGCAAGCCTCAAGACTTCAGGTATGTGATTTCCTGTTAATGAAACTTTAGTACTTCCTGCTGCCTCTTTGTTTTGTATAACAATAACCATATCCTTGAACAGAAAATTTTCACGACGGTGAAACGGGTGCTTCTGTTTCTCATCATTCTGGTAGCTGTAATCGCTTCTTCATATTACGGTTACAAGGGTCTCTTGAAACTCTCGGATTGGATGAATGAAGTCGAAGCACAAAGACAAAAAAGACACCCCCGATTTTAATAATTTAGATCAAAAAAAAAAAAAAAAAAAAAAGAGGTTAGAGCATTATACATTTATACTCCAAACTAGTATACATTTATACTCCAAACATAGTTTTTCATATAGGCAAGAAAATTTTGTAGCTTTGTTCTCTATTGTCTCCGAAAGTTTGTAGGCTTTCTGCGACTATTCTTCATTGAATATAGTTTTGCTAACGTTTCTTTTGAATGCTTTTGAGGAGTGCTTTTAGAGAAAGCAATTTTCTATTTTAGTAATTATTCCAAAATAGATACAGAATCACTTTCACGCTTTGGAAGCGCTTTTAGAATAAAAGCATCTGAAAAAAAAAAAAAATAAATAAATAAAGAATTTAAAGGCCCTGGACCAGGACGTAAATTCCAGGAGATAGAACAAATCTGTGTAATTTGGACGGTGCTATTACAATTGACAAGTCTACAACTCGTGAAGACTGGCATTGAAACCAGTCCTCACGTGTCTCGAACATCCGAGGCACGTGTTTGACTCCTTCCTCTATAATAATATAATTTTTTTTTTTTTTTTTTAATTCCTAAATTCAAACCCAGAATTTTAATTACCAGATGAAGAACTTGACTTGAAAATAAGTCGTATATTTATGGCTATTTTACTATTTTTACATGGTTATTATATTGGCCTTAATTTTTCAAGTATTAGTTGTTGAATTTTCTTTTAATAGTGTAATCAATCTCTCACTAACAGTGGAGAGTTGGTAAGCATAAGATAATAATAAATTATATTATTGAAAAGTTGGGTTAGGTAACTTTAAGCTTTTGAATTTTTCTCCATGAACAAATCAATGTTTCGTACCTTTTTTTCTTCTTCGGGTAAACCCAGTAATTGTCTCTCCCATAACTCGAACATAACACCTCTGAATATAGTTAACTCCAATGACTAAAGGATTTTCTATCCAATTATAAGCGGAGAGGTAATGCTTTGTACCTTTACCATCCAACCAAACTAGCAGCATCTTGTGCAGATAAAAATTTATAATTTTACTTATCTTATGGTGAAATTTTCCTTCAATTTCAATCTCCATATGGCTGTGCATGATATGGATAATATAAAATTTAAAGCATTTGTTGTATTATTGGGTACTGTTTTTGTGGATGAAAACAAACACTTCACTGACAAAAATTGGAAAAAGCTACAATTCCATTATTCATTTTATTCCACTCGATCCATGTGCAAAACCAATAAAGCTGTTTTTTTTGTTTCATGATATGCTTCTACAATATACAATTACATTTAGAATGAATGGAGGTGGTGGATCACCGGCCAGCCGCCACTTTATCCGGCTGTAACCACCATCTCTACCCTCACAACATTTAATTTCAGTAAATTTTATAATTAAATTCATAGAATTTGCAATCAATTTGTAGGCACCGCTCAATTGAATGTAGTTGAATTCTAGTATTTAGTTATAGTGATATTGCAAAATATTGGCCTCATATTGACTCACTCATTGATTTGTTTCACATTCAAAATTTGAATATTGAACCTTCAAAGTCAAAATTCTGAGTCCAGGTGTGAATAAACTTCAAACTATTGTATTGTTTAGGGGGCCATTTTACAAGGCTTTTGAATAATATAATAAAATTTTAGTAGAGTAGTTGGTACTTGGGCAAATTTGGGTGCTTGATAGTGAACCTTTTAGTCAATGAAATCAAATTGCTTCTTCAAAATTCAAGAAAAAAAATTGCTTTCTAGATTAACAATAACCAGCAAATACCATCCAAATACGTATATTTATACAGTATATATGAATATACACGACATTTTAGATAAAACTACATCCAATTGTCCAAATATTTTGGTTAACATTTGGAAGAAAAATTGATGAATGCATACATGAAAATAATGGAGGGAATAATAAAGAAGAAAGAAAGAAGAAAAATGGAATCATTATCCTTGTTGTTAGTGTTCATAAAAGCCTAAAACAACTACAAGCTGATCGATGTTAGAGGATGAAACTTCCTAACTAATTGGTTTTTACACTCCAAAACTCTAAACCCCAAAACAAATTTTATCCAAAATTTTTGAAATGTAAATTAAACTCAATAAAAAATCTGGTTTTGTAATGAATTTCAATCAGAAACAATGGAGATTGTACCACTAGAGATGCTTCCATGGCTGCCTTCACAAAGAGCCAATGCCCTCTCCAAATTAGCAACAATATCAGCAATTGTAGGCCTTTCTTTTCCTTCCAAATTCACACAATGCATTGCAGTGTATGCCACAAGCTCTACTGCTTCTGCTTCATTGAGCTCCGGCGGACCAACCCTTTTGTCCAATATTCTAAGCAATTCTCCTGCCAAAATTACCGGCACTGCGAAATCAACTATACTTACAGGAGCCCCTCCATTTTCATCGGTCTTGAATATTGCTCTTTTCCCAGTTAAAAGCTCAAGCAACACCACACCAAGTCCATAAACATCACTCTTTGCTGTTAAAACATTTAATCCATAGTATTCTGGATCAATGTATCCTACTGTTCCTGCTGCCTTAATTGGCCTGAAATCGCGTTCGGACTCAGGACCCATCATTGATAATCCAAAATCAGATACTCTTGCTGTCCAATGAGCATCTATTAGAATGTTTGAAGACTTGATATCTCTATGAATTATAGGTGGAACTGCATAATTGTGAAGATACTCGATTCCTCGAGAAGCATCTAATGCGATTTTGATCCTCATTTTCCATGAATTTACCACACTACTACTCTTCTCAACATTGTTCTTGTCGTGTAAATGATCATAAAGTGCTCCATTTTTCATATAATCATATACCAAAAGCTTCTCTTCTTTCTCTTCACAGTATCCGACTAGCCTCACCAAATGCTTATGATGAAGCCTTGACAAGAACGCCAATTCTGATTCAAACGCACTCTCTTTCTCTTGAAATTTCTTCATCTTTTGACCCGTCTCCCCTCTCTTAATTGCTACCTCACGACCATCCGTCAGTTTCCCTTTATACACAACACCAAAACTACCAGCACCAATCTTGTTCTCCAAGGAAAAATTATTTGTAGCAGCTGCAAGCTCTGCAAATGAAAATTCCTCTGCTCTATCAGCATGTTTCATCGATGAAGTTCCACTTCTCTGACGCCTCATTGTCAAAACCCTCGAACCCTGACGCCTAATAGTGGACGACAGCGAAGGAGGACTATTATTCGACGTCGCCCCACCATTAGAACCAGCTCTAGTAATAGTTGGCTGAACAGAATTATGAATTTTCTTGTTCCCAAAACAAACTCCAGTCCACAAACAATAAATTATAGTACAAATACCGGCAAAAGCACCTACTGATCCCACAATGGCAAACGCCAATAAACCCCTTGTCAATTCCTTAGATGTTCTAGGCGACTCTGGCGATGATGGCGTTGGCACCGGAGGAGGAATCACCGGTGGTGGTTGACCCACATTTGGCTCAAAACAAGAAGTATTGCTGTTGCAAATAGTACCAGAACCCGAACACAATCTATCAGATAGCGGATAGATCCCACACTGACTGCAAGATGATTGTAAACAAGGCCCTGGAAGAATTTCCGCACCAAAGGGAATAAAAAATCCTGAACTAGACCCATTAGACCATCCGGGTCCCCAACACATTACAGAAAAATTTCCTGTTGTCAATCCACAAGTGAAATTTGAACCCGAAACAATCGATTCAAACGAAATCCCTTCAGTTTCATTTACTGAATACTCCCCTCTTCCGCCCCAACAATCAACCGATCCATTCAATCGAATCCCGCAACTGTGATTCTCTCCAAGAGCTAACGAACTATACCCGGAAGAATGTAACGGAATGCTCAACTGTCCCGTGTCGTTATTTCCTCGACAAATTACAGAACGATTCGAATCAATCCCGCACACGTGAGAAGCACCTGCAACTATACTCAACATGGAGTTGTTAGTAAATTCATATTCGATTTGTCTGGCTGTTGAATTATTTCCCCAGCAACGAACTCTACTTGTATTCATCAAGATTCCACATGAAAACCCGAACCCGGATGTAATTGACCCGAATTTCTCTTGCTGAGAAGGAAAGTTATCGCTGCTGTTGTTAACGGACCCTCTCCAACAGTTAACTTCGCCGTTAGTTGTGGTGGCGCAAACGTGATTATCTCCGACGGCGAGATTGTTTAACAAAACGGTGTCGTCGTAATATAATCTTTTGGAGACAAAACTGGAAAATCCAGACGTGTCCCAACAGAGGAGACTGTAACCATTGGAGCGAATGGCACAGAAGTAGTTTTGGCCGCCGGAGATATAAGAGTAAGAGATGTTGGGTTGGATTTGGATGGGCGTTACTGAGCTGTTATTGTAACAGAGGATACGTTTCGTGGGCTCACTTGCCACGACGGCGCAAACGGTGGCGGAGCCGTAACTGACGGCGATGGTGGAACCGGAGCCCAGTGCATGGGTGAGCGAGGGAAAAGAAGAAATGGATAGTATAATCGCAGTGAGGAGAGTAACGATGACGGCGTCGGCGTCGGCGGAGAAGGTGGGTAGTTTCGTCATTTAAATAGGTGAAAGTTGGAGAATGGGTTGGTGGGTTCTTTGTAATTATGCTTCATTTGTGGATTTGCCGATAGAGAGAGAGGAGACCGAAGAGTTTTATAGAAGAGTGTTTAATGGAGAGAGAGAGAGAGTTTTGTGAACTGTTAAATCTTAAAGATGAAGAAGAAGAGAGAGTTCAGAGAGTTCCAGGTTCCAGTTTAAGAACTGTTCCTTTATCTTCTAAGGCCGTGTTTGGTTGTTCAAAATTTGATTTCGTTTGCATCGATAAAATAATTTTGTAAAAAATTGAAATTATATTTTTACTAATAATTTAGGGAGTAAATAAGACGGTTATTTGGGTTTTATAGAATATCATCAATTATTAATCTATATTTTGAAATTATTTTTTAAAGAGTTTGTAGACATAATCTCTTGTAAAAATACCCTTTAAATAATTTTTTTTTTTTTTTATTATATGTCTCATAAATACCACTTAAAGATTGTGTCATTTTTATTTTAATATAATGAGAAAGGAAGATAATATTTCTCTATTTTCATGATTAAAACATTTAAACCAATACAAGATGTGAAAGGTTACAAGTAGGTTGATATAGATTACCTATGATTCTTTATTTTTTATCATGAATATAATTTATATCATAAGATATCTCTTATTAAGTGATTTATTTATTTATTTTTAAATAGTGGGGTTACTAAAAATCACTTGTATATTAATGTTAGTTAACCTTGTATTTAATGGACTATTGAATTTATAATTCCATAATTTAAATCATTAAAAAGCTTACTAAATACAATTTTAAAATATACGGATTAAAATAATTACCAAAAGGGAGAAAGGGCCAAACAAGGCGTTAGCGTTTGTTGAGAAAAGGAAGATAGGTAGACGGAATGGGTTAAGAAGGAAAAAGGAGAATATTCTTGTTGACCGAGAAGGACACGTGTCAGTAATAGTGTTGGGGGCTTACGCGCCGCGCCTCCAATATTATGAGACACATGCATGCATATTTAATCCATATTTATTGGACACGTTAGGCATGTAGTATTTATTAGATTGGTGGCATTTTTTTGACAAATAAGGCTGCGTTTATTTTTTTATTTTTATTTTATAATATAGAAAATTATATATGGAAATGGAAGGAATAATTTCTAATATATTCTTCCATAATGTTGCATGCACTATTAATTATTGGGAAAATTGTTTATAAATTCTAATTATATACAAAATTATACTACCATTACCATATCATATTAAAATAAAATAATCCACCTTATACTTTATTCTATTGAGATTGTTCAATAAAATACATACATTATTGGGTTTGACCATACTCAATGGTCTTGTGTTCAAATCGTGAGAGAGACAATTATTAGGCTTACCAAAAATAAAATAAAATACATATATTAATTTATAATTCAATGAATGATAACGATAATTATTGAGATTGATGAATGGAAAATTAAGGCAGAAAAACTACTACTGTGTGATCTGATAGTAAAAAAACGAAAAAAGATTCTCAAACTCATGAGTTCGAATCTCCCTCAAGCCTTAGTAGAGGTGACCACTGGAAGATTACCTAATCAAACTTTCAGGATTCTAAAGGATTAATTAAGGTGCACGTAAGCTAATTAGGATACCCCAGATGATTAAAAAATAAAAAGTTAAGGAAATTTAATAATAAGTAACTTTATATTTCAACCAGGTTAATTGATAAGACTGATTTGTTATATATATATATAAGAGGGGTAATTCTAAAAGACTGAAAATGAAATAATTTAATGTCATGAATTGGGTCAATGGCACATATTTTGGTTTAGCCCATCACAGTCATATAATATATAAAGATGAGAGTTTTTGAGTCTTGACGGAGAAAGAAAGAGGGTCGGTAGGTTCTTCGTTATTTTAAAAGTGCTTTTGGGGTCAAAGAACGACTTCGAAAAGGTAGTTTCGTTGCTTACAATCATATTCCACAAAGAACACATCTCTCTTTCATCCAATTGCTTGCAATCTTTCCATATCTCCATTCTGTTGCCCAAAAAATAAGCACTTTCAACCCAACTTCGTGTCTCTTGGAAGCACTTTTGAAAATGACCTCAAAAGTTAGCTCAAATTAGGCTGTCTAGACAGGCAAGTATATCAAACTCTTTTCTTTATATACGAAAAATATCATTTTGGATTTTGTTAATATTTGGTGAGAGTTAATCTATCCGTATCCTAATAACCCACGGATCTTCGAAAAACTATTAAATCCCTGAAATTGATAAAACCCCTTACAAATATTATTAAAAAAAAACTCACGTTTTAAAATCTGACAAACAGATTTAGGTAGAATTCAAACTTAACAGTTAATTTAAGAAATGAGGGAGTGCAACCATATATATACACTATAACAGTCCATCAACTTAGAAATATGACCGAGCATTTACATCCCAAACAAACCTGACTGAGTGTTTACATCCCAAGCAAACCTGACTTTGATATCATGATAAACGGGTTTAGGTAGAACTCACTTGTTCACCAACTTGGCAATATGGACAAATACAACTTCTAACAGAAATTTTTCAATGATAAACGAGAGTGTAGGTAGAACCCTCTCGCCCTGCTAATATGGGCAAATTTGTGTAATAAAATAAAATAAAAGGTATAAATGATAATTTAGGGTGCGTTTGGTTTATTATTTTGGATAGGATTTTGGAGATAAAAATTTACAAAAAAACCACTTAGGTTTGCTAATTTAACTAAACACCCAAATATATAAAAATTTTGTAAAATACTAAAAACACCCCCACCCACCCACAGTGCCAGATTCTGGCCACCACCGTCAGAATCTAGCGTTACGACAAAGACCGATCGGATCTGGCAGGACCTGTGTCGATCTGACCAAAAAAGGTCAGATCTACGACTAGATTTGGCCGTCAACGACCGCAAAATGTCAGATTTTGCTATCAGCGATAGCAAAAAATATGGCTATTGTTGACGATCAGATCGACGAATCATCGATAATTTTTGGTCGTTTGTAGGCCGTTGTGATAGATTCTGGCTATCACCGACGGTGGTTGTCGGAATTTGTCAACTATAGGTGGGTGGGAGTATTTTTGTTAATATTTAAACTTTTTTTTAGAGGTATTTAATGAAATTAATAAACTTAAGGGGTTTAAAAGTAATTAAAAAAATATAATAGCATTTCTTAAATAATTAAACAAACAAATATTCTGGGAACTGGGAGAAATGCACTCTTAAATATCTAGGTTGTTTTGTGAGAAGTGTGAACATGACACTACTGTCAACACCTTCTTCTTAGTTTATAAAATATTAATGTAATTTTTGAGGTGAAGATTTTGTGGCAGCCAGCAATGGCAGAAAGCCAAGAGAGCAGCATGCTCTAATCATTGTTGCTGTTGCTGTTAGTCAACTTAATTCGGATTAATATTTTAATCATACAATCAATCTGTTCTGTTGACTGGGAATGGGATGATGAACACACATACAGATTCTTCACTCACATTGATGATGGTAATTAGTATTCACTAATCTCCACGATTAACTTTAATTAATTAAAAAATTAAATAAATTAAATTCCGTGGTTAAATGGCTAACTAATTTTGATCTTGTGTTTGAAAAGGTTCAACGTAAGACTTATTCTCCAATTAAAGATTGATTAAATAGACAATTAATATAATTTATATATTTGAGAACCAGACACTAACCCAAAAACAAGGAGTCTTTATAGTACACAACTGAAAATGATAATTAAATATAAAAATTGAATAAAGATAGATTGTGAAACACTTTTCATAACTTTCTCTTACAAATACGATGTGACAGTTCGTAATTAATCAATTCATATTTGATAAGGTGAGACCTATTACGAACTGACAATGAATGAAAAATGTTTATTAATGTAATATTACTCAGAAAAATTAATAATATAATTAAAGATAATAACAACATAATTAAAATTGAAATTAAGCAAATAAACAATGAAGGAGTTTTGGACCCTACCCTTGCAAGTGTAATCATAATAATCAGTGTTGGAGAACATGATACATGTGGCTTCCTTTACAATCAAATTTTGAGTGTTTAAGTAAAATATAATTATTTTTTTAATTATTTTTTCATAAATAATTTTAGTTTATATGTATATATATATTGTGGGTATTATTGGTGTTCATTGCTTCTTTGTAACCCAACATTACACGTTGAAAACAGACAGCAGAAAGCTTCTTGTAAAGTTGAATTTGACTCGACTTTTTATCTCTTCCCCATGATTTCCTTTGCTTGATGGGGGAACGACTTACACACACCCAAAGTTTGCGGTAAAGATAAAATAGTATCCAAAAGGTTTGGAAATGATAAACACCCACTTTCCGTCATGTTCTGTTAGAAATTTCCATCTGTTAAAAGACAAAAATGATGAAAAGACTAAAATACATCAATCTCCATTCCCAACGCGTGCCAGCAAAGGCCAATGCCATTGTTTATCACCGAATTTCACAGAAAAATGTTAAATCCGGTCAAAAAATCGATCGATGATGTAAGAGGGTTGTGCAAATGAGCTTGGGGTGAGAATATAATTACTTTAGTAGATAGAAATCCCTAACAAAATATGACAGAAAATATTTATTTATTATTTTTAAACCTTTTAAGTATTAATCTATCTTCATGCCAAACTCGGGGTAAGTGAAAGCCGTTCGGCCTTGCTTGATGTTATAAACAACTATATAGGTTGCATCAATGGCTTTCACATAAACATTTTCCGGATAATAAGCCCAAAAGCCCTCTAGCGCAGAAGCCCAATTGGGTTGCTTTTGTCTCTGTATTGTACATGCCACATATTTTAACAGCTTTAAATTTGCCTTTGTCACTGATACACAAGCTTTTGGGACAGGCAAAGCTGTAAAGGTTCATTTCATAACACAAGTAATGAACATTAGGTCGGACTGCTCATTAATTATTAATAATTTCATTTATGTAGAATGGCCTTTCTCTGCATCCAACCATCGGCCATTGCCCAGAAACTTAATTCCGCCATGAAGGGAGAGTTTAACTATTCCAGGGCTGCAACTTGAACATCTCATGCTGTGAAATTGGAAGACTCCAATCCTCAAACTTCCTGGCTGCAAAACCAGCCACATGATGCCGGGCCGATAGACATAGTAGAATTCATAGGAGTATGATAGTAGGTGAGCAGGCTAAGGTTTGGCAAGAACTCAATACTATATGGAACAAGAAAGATTGACAATTTCGATAGTACTTAAGGCATGATAGTGAGAGACTGACCTGCAAGTAAATATTGATCCACAACAAATTTACAAAATTCTGAAAGATACATAGAAACATCTGACAGACAGCAATCATATGAACAAGTTACACAAGAATCAAGAGTTTAAACAAATCTAGATACATTAATGGTATATCTATTTCACAGAGGTAGCAGATAATTCCTTTGTGTAACTATGAAACTTTTGGCTTCTGTCAGTGCCTCCAGTACGCAGATTAATGCTATACGAGAAGTCACTGCGAACAATGATGAGATGCTGCTACCAGAAAAGGCTGAATGGAATTGAACAAGAAGATTGGCCGCCTTCATAAAGTCTTTATCCTACAAATCTAGAAGAAGGGATTCCCTGCTTTTGAAACCATTCAGGCATGTGGAATTTTTCATAGAGCATAGGTCTCACATCTTTCTCCAGAGAAAGTTGCTTGAGAAGTGGAAGAAGGACATTGAGAAGCTGATCAATACACGATGCAGAAGGAAACATGGTAAGGAAATGCTCAAGCATCATTAAATGAATTAAATTGAAATTTCAACAATGCAAATATTGTTACCTGTGTGTCTTGTGGTTGCCCAGCTGAAAATGGAACGCATGGGATTCCATTCAGAGGTTGCAACAAGAAACTGAACGGATTGTTATCAACAATAACAGTACGACATAAATCTTTCGACAGGCATGAGAGATCCTTAACATGTTCCCGATACTCCCTGTTTTGTCAAAGAACAATGATTGAACAAACAATGCAATTAATCTTGACCTGACTTGCAATCCAATAAGTCCATTCCACTAATCATAGAAATTATTCACATAAATAAAGCTTATGCCACAACTGTCATAGGCTGACATGTTAATTCTGCACTCTGAGCATGTTTTAAAAATTGCTTTGAGGAGCCAAACAAGAAAATGTATAAAGCATGAAGCACCAAGGAATATTTGGAGTTCTCTTTAGAGTTAAATAAAATCTATTCTTTTTTATTTTGGAATCTAAAATTACTCACTTTTATTTATTTATTATTATTTATACTTAAAGATTCTATATGACAACATAACTCTACTAACCAAAAGATATATTAAAATCTACAATAGAAAACCATTATCCTTCAGAATAAGTGTTGGGAACTAAGAACCAATTTGAGTGAAAGACAACTTATCGAATCCTATTATAAAAGACTTCTTATATTTTCACTAAAGATCTCAAATCAAAAAAGTACTGGTGGTTCAAACAGAATCTCTTGTTGCTTGGTTCACTGTTCAGGCTCTAGATTTTCCACTATCAGATTATTATTATGTGGGACCAGAAACTCTCAGAACCCTGAAAATTTAGTGGAAAGTCATGGGCAGAATAACAGAGAATATAGATCGATATGACCAACAAAATCACGAAATTATTTCTATAAAGTGCAAGATATAATGAACTGAAGAAAATTAAAGTGATGCAGATATAATTCACCAAAGCAGCAAAGAAATCCACATGGAATTGAGAGAATTCAAATCAGGGACTTCTAGTGACAACCTAATAGAGAAAAGATTACAAGGGAAATACAGGTAGCATAACTTACGTGCTAATTGTTGAAGGCCGATAAAGTCGAAGGCTAAACAGATTTTCTTCATCTATTCTGTCAACAAGTGGTCTAGCATAGCCTGAAAAAAGCAGAGAGTATCCTTCAGAAAATATACAGAGAAAAGAAAAACAAAAGTCGTTTCCTTTTTATCATAGCTTAATAAATGGTCAAGTAATCAGCAAACCTTCAAGACCAGCAGTAAACAGTATAAGCTCTGCAAATTCGCTCACTTGTTTTAAAAACTCATGCAATCCTGGACGCTCAAACACCGTAACATAATTGACCTTAGGGTTTCCTTCATTTTCCTTCAATCCAAACACATCGAAGTCAAAAACAATTTCTTTCGGAAACATAGTTGATAATCTATTAAGTATACTTATGTATAGAAACCTTGTCTAAAGAATAGCATTCCAACTCAAACCACTTCACACCAGCTTCGGTTGCTTGACTGCATAGAGAAACAGGCAGACTAGATGTCTCATATGCACATACTAAAGTTTCATCCAAATCAAGAACTACCTGCAGAAAAATGCATCAAATATTATTATATTCATCAATCCATCCGTTTGCAGAGAATAGAACAAAAATCAAAGAAGGAAAAGACAAAAGAAAAATAGAAGGTATAGTGAACACATTCTTTCGCAAAAATCTACCTAAATTTACTAACAAAACTTCCAGCCACGAGGAGCCATAAACAACACACAATTCAAAGCTTGCATATGTTAAATCGATATATTCCGTTAACAATTGGCTTAAATTCTCATCATTGAGTTCCATAAAGTTTCTGAAACTTATTGCTAATTATTAAACAAATTTCAACTGAGATTTACCAAGATTTTCAGATTTCAAATCGAAAGAGCCGCGCACAAGAACACGGGAATAAAATTACAATATCACAATAATTATATGTTAATCTGTATCAATTAAAAAAATAAAAATAATTCTCCACCAAATCGCCGTTTTTTAGGCGAATAAACGTAAACATACCGTGAGTTTCTCGGCACGCTCAACGGTAGCCATGTCATCAACGGAGTCTCTGACCCCAGCGATCTCCACGGCCGCCGGAAAATCAGACTCTGGCAGCTCCACAACTGGCAGCGGATTGAAAGCGTGAGTTGAGGCCGAAGCCGAAGAAGAGAGTAGCGGATGGTGACCGAGAGCTGTTATAATCTTAGAGAAGATCTGGAAGAAGAAACCCAGCCAGTTCAAAAAGCTTCTCCATACTTGAATAGACCAGCGAGGTGAGTAAACCACCTCGGCTTGAGTCAACTCGGCCATGAAAACCAAAAAAAAAAAAAAAAAAAAAAAAACAAAAGCACAACAAACTCTTCAAAACAAAACAGAACGAAACGATTTTGATTTGATTAAGACTGAAAATTAGAAATCTGAGTTGATTATGCTAAGAGAGTTGTGGTGGTCATGGCATGTGGTGGTGGTGTGGATTCGACTGGTCGTGTAAAATTAGAAAGGGAGAAAGATAGAATCGAAGACTGAAGAGACGCTAATCTACGCGCTAATTTGGCGACTGGCCAGTGCTCTAGTGGTTCATTTCGCTGAAATTAAGGCAGTCTTTGGGAGTGTAAAATACGTTTTTCAATAAATATTTATTTTTCTAAGACTTACGATAATTATTTATTTCATACAATATTGTAAAATAATTAAAAAAATAACATTATGTTATTAATAAATCATTTATAGCAATTAAAATATTCTGAAAAATAATTAGGGGTTGTTTGTTGTAATAGAAAATGGAAAATATAAATGGGTTTTTATATTTGGGATAAAAGTGCTTTTAGAAACAAAAAAATTGTCAAAGTGTTTTTCTAATGTTTTTCTTTTTAAACGTGCTTCTTAAAAAAACACATTGAGACTTTACTGTCAAAGTCAAGCTGATATAAAATTATAAATATAAAATAATTTTAGATAGTCAAAAGCTTTATTATTACAATAGAATACTAAGATACTTTTTAAAAGTTTCAAATAATTAATATTGTTATTTATTTTATTAAAGATATTATTTCTGACTTATCCAATAATAACCTCATTTATCTTGCATGAAACAAGCATAATATATGGAAATTAGGCATGATTTTAATACAAAATTTAAGGAAATAAATAAAGATTAACTCTCAAAATAATTTTGTTATTTTTACAGTTTCTTATGGAGTAGAGTTTATGCAAACCAAACAAAGCCTTAAAGGAGGAGATTGGTTGGGGACCACAAGGACCGTGCTCCAGCAAATAAATGAGAGCGTTGAAGCACGCGCGGAAGGAGAGGTGGTGGTCTAAAGTGAAAATGGGAGGCTTTTTTTTGTTGAATGGAATGAGATAATAAGAAAAGACAAGTTTGTGTTCTTTAAGATGGTTGTCCTTGCTAATTATTAGAGACGATGCATGGAGATTAGAGAGGGAGTGATACGGTACACTCAAGTGCACTGTACTTGGAACAATCTCCATCACTAAAATTCACGTACGGTTAGTGATTATCGGGTGGCGACACGTAGGATAATCATCTTACAACATAATTAATGTTATATAAAGCCCCGATGTTTGGTTTGGTCCAAACTGACAGACCCTGAGGCATCAGAATTAACCCAAAAACCCCCTTGTAATATTTTATTAATTTTAACCTTACTAGAACAAATGACCCTATTACCCTCACCTCATCCTCATCGCCATCCTCATCTACTGGCGGTCACATTCTTCTTTGGAATTAATGTCACATTTCAAAGCCCATATCATGAACATTTTGTCACTCTCCTACTGGAATTTAATTATAATAAATTCTTTTAGGAGTCATTTCAAAGTAATAATATACCATTAACCCTCTGTTAGTAACAGTTCATAATTAACCAATTTATAATTAATTATTGAGACCTGTTGTGAACTAACTAATTACAAACTGTCATAATAGAGTTATAAGAGAAGGTTGTTGGTATAATATTATTTTTTATTCCAAGGCATAAACTTTTCTGAAACATCAAAGTTTTGTTTTGACAAATATTTACTATGAACAACCAACCCCTAGGCGGACCAATGGTTCGTTAGAGACTCTTGAGTGTATTTTCCAAGAGGTCTTAAGTTTGAGTCCCTCCTCCGTTGCTAATAAGGGTAACCATTAAAACTCTTACCCAATCGGTAATTTCAGGTCTAGAGATTAGCTAAGATACACGTTAGCTGACCCGAACACCCTCGATCATATATATATATATATATATATGATCACTAAGACCTAGTGGAGAACAACCCCAACCAGCAAAGGCATGACACTAATTTAAATCTTGTAACTCTGTGTCTTCGATAGATGGTGAACAGAACACACGACTACTCAGATTTTCTTTTAAAACAGAAGTTGAGACAACAAACATCTTACAGCAACGACATGCTTTTACAGTCAATCAATAATAAATCAACCTTAAGACAAAAATCTATCTTTATTATCAATGTTCCAAAAGACCAACACATAGATCGTAGAATATTGAATTAATAGTAAAGAGTCTAAAACAAATCTTATTTATTTATGGTTTTTAGTTCCAGATCATACTCAACTTCCATGTTTATTTCCTGCTGCTTTTCTCAGGCAGCCCGCCTTCACAGTCGTCGGCGGCTACGTGTTAGACTAGAAGAAATATATTAGACTAGAATATTATCTTTGAACCATTGAATCCTTGCCTAACAAGTAACAACTTAAGTTTCTAAATAAAGTCGTTTCTTAACAGACTCATAAAAGAGAATACGCAATGTTTCATGAATTGGCATTAGTGAATTGCAGCCGTTCTCTGTAGAAATAGCAGAATGTCAAAAGCTTCAACTTTGAAGACGAAGAAATTATGCAACTGGTCATAAATATTGTGAATATGGTTCATCAGAAATTCCAGAAAGAAGAGATGAAACTGAAAACTGCAACACATAGAAGAACTGCATTCTTGCATCAAGAGCCCAAACAAGCATTGCAATGGTCTTTTTTTATTATATTTTTCTGTTAACCAATCGATTTGCCTGCGATTTACAACAAACCCTCGCTTAATTAGAGGGGAAAAAAGTGGGAATTCTTTTTTTTTTTTTTTTGTACAGAATAAATTAACAAACAGATGTAGAAGGAGAAAGTTGATGTAGCTGCATTTACATAAAAACCAAAACTGAAATTGGAGCAAACTGCGCTCCAAAAATGCTCATAATGACATTTCAAAGTAGATGTAAATATATATACCCACAAAATTGATAACTCCTCCAGCAATTCAGGGAGAATAAGACTAGTACGAGTGCAAAAGCCACGGGTGTTCCAATGCCTCCCTTGCAGTCGGGCGCCTCTGGGGATTGATCTCGAGCAAATTTCTAATGAAGTCAATGAACTTAGCATCAGAGACTTGCAGTTGATGCTCCAACGACGACTCCTCTGGAATAATGTATTCTAGTTGGTCTGTCTCCTGGACGCACAAAGCCACATATAAATTCATTTAGTGCAATGAACTTAAACTGAAAATTAATAAACTCGATTAGTACATGTGGAACAAACCTCGTTTACAAAGAAAAGATCGTATTCTTTTGTGAAGTACTTGTATGTCTCCTGTCCATTCACCAGCATCTCAAGATCAATAGGACCCAGCATCCCTATCATACGTGCAAGGATCATTACAACAGCATCATTTGGAAAGAGCACCTGGAAAAGACAGACATTCCAATAGATTGCTGATGAAATTTACTCCAAGCCTAAGCTAACATCAGAATTATTGGATTACAAATTGATGAGTGATAAGATCAACTTAAAGTTATGAATTAAACAATGCCAAAGCACATACTTCGCCAGAGCATAGCTCGGCCAGGATACAGCCAAGAGACCATAAATCAATCTTTTGGTCATATGGAAGGCCTAAGATAACTTCGGGCGCTCTATAGGATCGTGATTGTACATACAGGCACAAGTTGTCAGTTTCAAAGCAGCTGCTTCCGAGATCAATAATCTTTATCTCACACCTTTTGTAACTTTTGATAAGAATATTTTCAGGCTTTAGATCACAATGAAGAATTCCCAGGTTATGCAAGTACTCCAATGCCTCCAAACATTGGCGAGTTATCACCTATGTGATGAAACCCAATTAAAAGTCATTGCTCTCTTTCATGATGGATGATATATTGCTATTAGCTGTAATAAATTATGCTTAAGAGAACACCACCAAGCAAAGAGCAGAATTGAACAAACCTGCAACCTGCTTAGAGTAAAATATGCTTCCCCACCGGATTCTTGATTAAATTTCTGAAATTCATACAGATTTGCTCGGAGGAGTTCACAAACAATGAACAGATGCTCCTATGCAGTTATCAAAAAGATAAATTTAAGCATTAACAATGGTTAACAAAGGAATTAAAATGTATATGGATATAGATTTAAGGTGTACCTGATGATAAAAGTAGTCAAACAGACGCAAAATGTGGCGTTCATCACCCGGATCATGCTTGTTCACAAGCTTGAGAAGTTTAATTTCATCTAAACTCTGATCAAAAAAATCTTTATCATTTTTTATGATCTTCAGGCAAACATCCAGTCCTGTGTGAAGATCATGTGCCTGGAAAACCTTGCTGAAAGCAGCTGAGCCTAAGTATTCTGTAACATAATATCTACCTGCAATGACAGTATTTAGCACAATCGGCAGATCCTTGTCTTCTTCGAATCCAGTCCTGTAGATGGCATAACACATGAGTACACTGATTGCTACATATCAACCTGCAATGCACCGTCTTTGAATCTCTATCAAGACAGAGTACAAACAGTTCAAATATATCCATTACTATGCATTCTAGCTAAGCTGATGCTCAAATATCTACAGAAGGCTAGAGTGCTGCTTACTTCACAATTTTAAATTCTAAAACAGTATCAACAATTTGCTTAAGTTATATCACCATCCTACATAAATAATTTGAACACACTTACTTGATTAGTTGAACCACTTTGCTTAAGTTATAATAACTCCTATGGTTTTCATTGGTTTAGTTGACATTTACAAAGATGTGAACCATTATGCAATTAAGAAGTAAAGCAGGGAGACTTTGCCCAACAAACCTGTTTTTCCGGTGTATGATCCGCAGATTGAATATTTCATATTCTTCCTCATGATTATCATACATAAGAAGGTCATGAGCATTAACATCGTCTCCATCTGCATCAGACTTAGGTTCATGGAGTCCATTAAATTCAAAATCTCCTATGTCAAAGCCATCAATTCCATTTGACATAAAATCTTTCTTGGCATCCTTAACATGAAAGTTCGATGTATCTTTAAACCCTTCAGTCCACTCATTGCTTGATTCCCTCTTAATAGAGTAGCCAGAAGTGTTTTTAGTTCCACAATGAAGAGATAAATCACAATCAGTAGAAGAACCCCCAACAACCTTCATTTGAAGATCATATAAATCAGTTTCTTTGGAGCTCAGGTAACCATAGTCCTCCAGTTTCTCGCCGTACACAAACCCCTCTGAACAACCATAAGCTGCACAATTCTTGAGCATTTCTTCCATGACTCCTTCATGCTGGTTATTCTTTTCAGAATCAGAATAATCTGTCACTTGAACCTCATTCTTGGAATTCAACGGGGCAATATTAACTAGACACGGCTTATCCAAGTAATCTATGCTTGTCTCTGATTGCAATCCTTCTGACTGATCATATACCACCAACGAATTTTCAAATTGCTTCTCAGTGTCTAAAGTCATGATGAACTTATCCTCACTTGGACAGCCAAAGAAGTCAGGCCCTCCAAAGCAGGGAGTCAAGAAGGAGCCTTCATCTTTCTCATCATGCCAATAGATATCATTTTGCATATCATAATCGGGGTAATCACGCGCCGTATCAAACTGAGATAAGCTATCAGATGATGCATCGGAATTACCCCGAGATGCAGAATGCCGTCCATACGGGTTTGTGAAATCTGACAAAGTGAAAAAAAAAATAAGTGCGACCAATGCAAACTAGAATAGATACATCAAGCAACCTACCTGTAAACTGGTAGAACACCATAAAAATTAGTAAAGAACTACAATTTCTAACAATACTGCTGCTAAATCATGAAGGTATAATGACCGTTTGGTCGCGAGCGCAGGTCAAATTCTGCATATTAAACTCTAAATTGGCAAGTGATTAAGGGAACAAGAGGCAACCAAATTGATGGTCTTTCATAGGAGAGAAACCTTAAAGTCAATTCCCGTTAATAAAATATTGATGGGATTGCATAAGCAACAATCAAGTAGTCGATATCTGGAGTTAGAGAGACTGTTAATGGAGAAAACACAAAACAGGGTCATGGAAAATCAGGATGGCAATCTAACAAATACCAAAAATTTTAAATCTAACAAAAGGCCAACGCCACCCACTTCGAGGAGCTGCACATTTGGGTTGCAGGGAATTTAAAAGAAATTGTAATTTAATGGCCAACTTAGGCATATGTGTCAGTTAAGAGAATAAATTCACATGACTTCTGATTTCTGAATATGTAATAAAACTGAGTAGCAGCATTGTTGATGTCAGCACTCCATGAATTTCATCAAAAAAAAAAAGCATACAATCAAGTAAGATTCTTTACACTACTAAACCAGAACTTAAATCTTCATATTTAATTTATAAACAAACAAGAAGCTAGTAATTTTACCTGAAGAACAAACTCCGGTTGTAGAAGAACCCAGGCTCACAAACTCATCATCGGAGGAAGAAGAAGAAACAAAACTTGATCTTGATGATCTTTCATCACCACCAATATGTTCTTCAACCTCATGTCGCCTGAGAGTGGTCGGAATCCTCACCGGCGGCAGCACCGGGAACAAGAACTTCTCATAATCAAACGAACCCAAGTCACATTTTTCCATCATATCTTCTTTGAGAGCTGACTCAGCCTCCTTGAATCCGTTCTTTCTGAAGAATTCTATCACAGCTTCCACGTCAGACTCAGAGTTTGAACTAGCAGCTGCCATTGAAACAAACAACAACAACAATTATTCAAACTTAGACTGACGACGAGAGAGTAACTATAACAGCAAGAGATGAAAGAAAGAGTGGCTTCATCATGTGAATTACGTAAAATTGAAGGGCGAGAATTGGAATAAAATATCGAACGTTTCAGTGCTTGCATGCCTTTCTCTCTCTCTCTCTCTCTTTATTTTTCTTTAATTTTATTTAATTTAAAAAAAAAAAAAATTTCTTCTGTAAAACTGAAGCTAAGAGTCTGTGACTTTGCGTTGTGTCTTACCAACTTTGGAAAGCGGGGTTTCGACGTTGAGTGGGGTTAGGCGTACACGTGGAGAGATACAGAACGTACACGTGGATGAGATGCGATGAGAGTAGGGGATTTTGGTCATTGTCGTTTTGGGTGGGAAGTCAAGGAGGGAGGGAGTCGTTCCGATGAGGGTCCAATTTTATTTCTTTTCAAACTTTATTTCACTTTCCATGTTCGAGAATATGTTTTTCATCTGCTTTTGCTTTTTTGTTGGCATAATTATTTTCCACCTTTCAATTTCACCACGGCATTTAATTTTAAATTGATAGAGACAAGGCATAAACCTAAACTCACCGTATAATTCCTTGTTTATTACTCCATATCTTTAAAATTATTATTAATTTATTTATTTATTATGAATTCATTACACACATTAAAAGTATTTGATAATTAAATTATACTTAATCCACATGTGCTATTATTCGGATGTTACAAGTACAATTTAATGAGTACCAATAACAAGATTAAATACAGTTTTAATTAAGGATTAAAGTGTGTTTTCAATATGATTTTGAAGGTCCACCTTATTAATTGATAATAACATATTCAAGTATAACTCAAGGGTTAGATTTACCAAAAACGTAAAAAATCGACATATATAATTGAAATAGTGGACTAGGGCAATTCACTTAGCTACCTTTTTTATTTTTTTTTTTTCTTTTTTACTGGTTATATTATAAAAGACCCACCTAATATCATAATGTTGTTTCTCCATGAATGGTGTGACACCCACAGCTTTAATAATTCACTTTCTATTATCTTTTTTTTTTTTTTTCCATGTGACTATGGTAAATGATAATCATTCACTTGGTTTTTTTCCCTATCTTTTTTTTTTCTTTATAAAAATATTATTTTTTAGGCCAAGGATTTGAAATTTGAACTAGATGCCCACATTGATAAGGTCCACAATGCCAAGAATATATTAAATATATGAATTTAATTGAAAGTGGTTGTGGACTTATCTTTGGTTTGGGTTCCAAATGTCATCAAAATTGTAGCGAATGGTTGATCTCAGTTGTATAAAATAAAATTTTTTATGATGAGTTGGGTGACTTGGGTCCAATTTAAGGACCCTCTGATCACCAACATTTGTTAGAGTTTGGTCAAACTTTATTTATTGAGTGCAAGTTAGGTTTATCCCTTCACAAATTAGTTTGAGATTCAAGTAATCAATGGAAAATAACAAAAACTACCATAAATTAATAAAATACGGTATCAATTCATTAAGTTTTAATACTTTATTCCCCAGAGAAATGATAAAATAACAAAAAAAAACCCTTGATGTTCGGAAATGATAAAATACATTAACTAACTCATAACATAATGGTTTATTAACGACATATGAATGGTTGTTATTTTAGAAACTTCGGGGAAGATTTTATTATCATATCATATCTTATAACTTTTTTTTTTTTTTTTTGAGTGTGCAACTCAATTAATTATCGAGATCTATTGAATATCTTATAGACCTAATAAGTTAGATAAGTCATAAATGTAATAGGTGGCCACTTTATGAAACTCGAACATAAAACCTTTGGATAATCCACCTAGATAAAGGGGTGTATCTAGCCTAGTTTTGGCCCACCCCTCAATTTTTTTTTTTTTTTTTTTTGAATACCAATGGCTTCGTTTGGTTGCATTTTGGGAATACTACTTTTAGTATTCCCAAAAAAGTTAAACAGTAAAATACCCAAAAACCAGAGTTTTTGGGAATACTACTCTCAATATTATTCAACTTTTTTTAAACCCCTTAAATTTTTTAATTTAATTAAATACCCCTAAATATTTTTTTTAAAAATTGCAAAAACACCCTAGTAATCCACATTTACCAGATTCCGACTACCACCGTCGGAAAATGGCCAGAATCTGGTAGGATGGCGCACTACCGGCTGAATCTGACTTGTAGTGCGCCGCTCTAGCCTTCTCCGACCAGATCCATGATAGATCTGCCGAAAAAGGCTAGATCTAAGGCCAAAGATCTAGCCTTTGACGGCCAGATCTTTGGCCGTAACAGTCGGTAACGACGGCCAACAAACGGTCATCGTTGACAATCAACGACGACCGTTTGTTGGCCGTCATTGACGAGCAAATACGGTCAGATCTGGCGATCCACGGTGGATCTGGCCAGAAAAGGCCATATCGGCGCACGACCGGCAAGATCCAGCCGGTCATGCACCAATACGGCGACTCCGACCACCCTCTGGCGGTGGTGGCCGGCTGTCCGTATTTGAGGGTGGGTTGGGGGTGTTTTTGTTAACTTTTAATGTTTTATTATAGGGGGTGTTTTGCAAATAAACAAACATAGGGGGTATTTTATAATTTACAAATCTTACATCGTAATACCCGCCCAATTCAACTTTTTTTTAACTTTTTAAAAAAAACTTTTCTCAAAAACACAAAATTGTGAACCAAACGGAGTCAATATGTACAATTTCTAGATTTTGACCCACCCTAACAAAAATATTAACGTGTAATTCACTTTTACTTTGACTCTCCCTAATAAAAATTTATGAATCAGCTATTACCTAAATGGTTAAAGTCTTGTTGCCCGACCACAAGGCTAATGATTATCTAGGGGGGTTATGTCTTTAACCAATAGATTGATATTACCAAAACTTTGTTTTATTTATTTATTTGTTTATTAATGGGATTGAATAATTAAAGGTTTGATTTGAGATATTTGTTGCAAAGATGGTGGAATATCTTTGACTTTGTACAAAATTTTCAAATGTGGACGTGGAAACTACTACAAAATTATATTTAAAACAAGGGTCTATGAATGGGGAATAAAGGATATGATTAACAAAATTAGGTAGCGATAACTACTAATCTCCAACAATTGAAAAACAAAACATATAATAATAAACAAAAGAGGAGTATAATCTTTTCTCTCTTACGTACGCGTTGAGTATCGTAATTATAAGTAATTAATACGTTAATTAATAATTAATGGGATTGAATTATAACACAGTTAAGAGAAGAAACAACAAGAATATTAAATAAATAAAGGGAGAACAACATTTTCCCGCCCAAGGTTTGGCAAAATGACACTTTTCCGTCATTCGTCAACTTTTGTTAACGTTTTATATTAATATTTGATTGAAAAGATGAAAATACCCTTAAATAGTTAATTTTTTAATTAGTTTATTATAAATTAAAATTTAGTTAAGTCAAAGTCTTTACTCGATTATTTATTAGTTCAAGTATAAATATATCTTCTTTTCTTTTATTTATTTAATTAATTAGGAATTTTGATTTTTTATGTTAATTAGTAAAAATGAAAAACATTATATCATAAAAAACATTAGATATTTAGTAGATTATTGAATAATAGTGATTAGATATTAATGACATTATAAATAAATATATAAATATGAAGGTCATTTAACTTAAAACAATTTCATAACATTACTCCTAACTTTTTAGGTAGGGTTAACTATTTTATCTTTTTTTACTTTTCAATATTTGACTTTTTTTCTAATTAAAAATAATAAAAAATTTATAAAGTCAAATATTTAAGAGCATTTTCATCTTTTCAATAAAATATTAACAGAAAACATGACAGAACCTAAGGAAGCGTGGGAAAGTGTCATTTTGAAACTTCAAGGGTGGGAAAGTGTCATTTTGCCAAACCTTGGGTGGGAAAATGTCGTTCTCCCATAAATAAATATAAATGCTGTTTGGAGTTTGGACTGCCATTTGGAGAGCAAGATTTAATGACGTCAGTTGGTTGAATGAGCTATAATCCGGTCGAGTATTTGCCTTTAAATATAGAATGGGCTCAGTTATTGGACATCGATCTGGGTGAACTTATGATCTATGAAATGTATGCCCCAGCTCGATCTGGATCTAGACCAACATGGGCCAGCCGAAAAGTGAGCCAGTCCACATTTTGAACCATTTAGGCTCCCAATTAAGCTAATAGCTAGCTTCAATGGAAGAACAAGATTCTATGCACACCTCAGAAGAATATATTAAAGTCATTTATCCGTTAAGTAATAACATAATAAAATTTTTCTTTTCAACATATAAAACGAGAGATTAGTTCGAGAGGTCGTTGGATAATCAAATCTCGCTCACACAAGCATGACACAAGGTTCGTTTATGGATTACATAGATCTTAAATTACAAGTCACAACTTAATTAGTGTAAGGGAAAGAAGAAGAAGCTGCTAGCTAGGTTTCCCAAGACCAGAGAAAGATTTTATCCACCCTGAGGTTTTGCTTAATTATGTTTAGGTCCTCAACAAACATTTGTATAAAAGGAGTGCTAGCAACTAGGGGTGTGCAAAAGAACAGGCCAAAACCAAAACCGATGGGTACCTGAGGTTCTGGTTTTGGTTCCTACTTGGAACTTGCCCTCACATGGTAGGTTTCGATTCTAAAAATCAAGAATCGGCAAATTCCAGTTCCGATTACACATCTGCAGAAATCGAAAACAGGAATTGAGATCTGGGTATCCTGGTAAGAACTGGGACTGAATTATAATTTTTGTAAACTATCAAGAGTGTATTTGTAATTTTTAGAGGGCTTATTTGTCATTTTTTAAAGATTAGGGGTAATTAAAATTAACTTGGATACCCAAAACTGAAACTAGAACCAAAAAATATGTTTCATGTTCCGATTCTTGGCTTCTAGGAACCAGAATCGACTGATTCTCATTCCGATTTCATATCCAAGGAACCAATCGATTCTGATTTCTATGAATTTGGGCAAGTACCTGGACCCACCCACCCTTCCTAGCAACCGCCTAAATTATGCTCCTTAAGTCGTGAACTATACTCTTCCCTTTAACCTGTATTGCAATGAGGGTATATCCCATTACTTTAAACTAAAGTTTAGAGCTAGTGAACCTAAACCGTCCCGATTCCGAGCAGGAGAGAAAAACA